TCTCTTTTTATCCAAGAATAAAAAATAAAAGGCAGAGAAGTGAGGGAGGAGAAAATGTACAAAGACTTTATTAAAGAAGCAAAACTCATGTAAACTCATTACAATAGTATTTTGTCTTTAAACTTGAAGAACACTGTCTCAAATATTTTAGTTTTATGTCACTACATACTAGAGTTCCCAGTCCCATGAGCCACTGAGCTTGGTAACTCCAAACAGGCTGGCAAGACAGTCATTTGCTACTTGCAGTCAAGGAGATTCACCAATATATTTGTTGTCCCGGTGAACAGCTTTTACTTTCTGCAATACATTTGCATGGACAAACAACATGATATGGGCGATCACAAGCTAAGGCCAGCAATTTCCACAGTCACTAATGAGTGGCAGTCCACCCACCCACCCACCCCCTTTCAAATCTGTACTGTGAATGTGGAATGAGCAAATATTCATGGGAAATGCATTAACAGAAAACAAAACAACCCTAATTAATAGGTACTTATTTGTGTGGGAGCCTTGGGGTGGGGCCATCACTTCTACCTATGTGGAGGCTGACATTAAGAAATGCATATTGTGTTCTAAATATTGGTCACGGATATCTTGATTTGAAGATGGGGAAGTTGAATACCCTTTCTTCATTCCTAGGCATTCAAGAAAGCCCTTGCCTCAAAGGATTCTCGCTCACCTGCGGATGGTCTGACTCTTGAAATGAGGATACCAGCATGAGAACTGACAGTTCAGCACTTGCTCCTTCTTCATCCCTTTGCCTGGACGCTCCTTCTGAGTGCAAGGCTGGTTTGAGATCTAAAAGAAAGGAAAGAAGGTACCATAATTCCCAAAGCAGCAGCAAAGCACCCTCACAAAGCCAAGAAATCATCCTCTCGCCAAGTTAATCACCATTTTCATAATGAGAGCTACTGAAAGCGTTATTTGTTTAATTCTGCTTGGCGGCCAAATGCCAGTGATAAAACACAGCCCTGCCCTCGGGCCTCGAGTCTAAAAGGCACAACAAGAAAGGGGAACGAACTGCGAGGAAGGGGAAATGAAATCTGAGAAACTAATTCTTAGTGACACAATTCTTCCCGTGAGCAGAACCAGGAGCGAAGCGGCGGCGAGCGACCACCCGCCCCTTGAGGGCCCAAGGAGGGCGACCCGAAGCGCGCTTCCTCAGGGGCGCTGACGTCATTAGCATCTTAAAATATTTATAAACAAATGAAACACGAAGCGCTTTGTCACTGCTCATTTATTGGCAGTTTCCACCGTTCCGATCGCTTTGCCTCCTTTCTGGGAGCCGAACCCACCTGCCGCCGGCCTTCCTCCTTTCTCATGCGCGGCCCCTTCCGCCTCCTCCAGAGCCTCGCTCCATCTTCCTGACCTTCCTGACAAGCCAATCAACAGGCGGGGCGGGACTCCAAACCTTACTCCGATTGGGCCACTGCCATACAAGCGTCTCGGTGGCTCAATGAAAGGCAGCTTGGCTGGCACCGCCCGCCTCCAGCCCAGGAGGCCAGACAGGCGAGAGAGAGAACCAATCGTCACAAAGCTGGTCAACAAAGCCGACTCTGGTTGGACCAGCTCTTTGGCAAATATTATCGCTGATCCAATCAATGTCAGGTATTGGAAGTGGCGGGCGGAGGAGGCGGGAAGAACTGCGTTCCCGGGTTACTAATAGAGATATACCGAGTGTAGATTCGCCATAGTTCTTGCTTTCAGGCTGGGAAGGAAAGAGCTGCCTTTAGAAAGCAGCAGAGACATTCAGAATTGAAGCGAGCGGCGGCTCTTCGACCCTCGGGCAGCTGCAGGATCCCCGGGGCAGCGCCACTGCCGGGAGCCGGGCTGCTGCTCCTCCGAAGAGCCTCCCCAATCCTGCCCCTTGGGGGAGAGGAGCCGCGGCTGGTCTCCTCCCACCCTTGCCAAGGGCGGGGCTCCGCACCTGCCTGGGTGATTCCCACTTCACCCATTGAGTAAGGTTATAATATAATAATAAAAAATTTAATTTATTACTTATAGCCTGTCCATCTGGCCAGGCCTCCCCAGCCACTCTGGGCAGCTCCTAACAGGAACTGCCAGAAGGCCCTCGGCGCTGGACCTCAGTGTCTGAGCTGAACGATGTGGGTGGAGACGCTCCTTCAGGTACAGTGGTACCTCGCAAGACGAATGCCTCGCAAGACGGAAAACTCGCAAGACGAAAGGGTTTTTGGTTTTTTGAGCTGCTTCGCAAGACGATTTTACCTATGGGCTTGCTTCGCAAGACGGAAACGTCTTGCAAGTTTGTTTCCTTTTTCTTAACACCGTTAATACAGTTGCGACTTGACTTCGAGGAACAACTCATAGCACGTGGTGTGGTAGCCTTTTTTGAGGTTTTTGAAGACTTTGGTGATTTTTGAAGCTTTTCCAAAAATTTTCCGACACCGTGCTTCGCAAGACGAAAAAAATCGCAAGACGACAAAACTCACGGAACGAATTAATTTCGTCTTGCGAGGCACCACTGTATACAGGGCCAAGGCTGTTTAGGGCTTTAAAGGTCAGCGCCAACACTTTGGCTTCATATAGGTGTTAAAAAGCATGGGGGGTAGAGAGGATGGAACCTTGAGGCACCCAAGTGAGAGCCCAGGGGTCTGAAGACTCATCCCCCCAGCACCACTATGTGGACACAGCCCAGGAGGAAGGAACTGAACCACTGGGTAACAGTGCTCCCAGCTTCTCTAGACAGTCCAGAAGGATGTCATGGTTGATGGTATCAAAGGCTGCTGAGAGATCCAGCAGAACTAGGAAACAGCTTTCACCCTTGTCCCTAGCCCGCCAGAGATCATAGCCCAGCACGACCAAGGCAGTTTCAGTCCCATGATGAGGCCTGAATCCTGACTGGAAGGGATCCAAATGGTCCGCATCCTCCAGGCATGCCTGGAGTTGTTCAGCAACCACCTGCTCAACCACCTTGCCCAAGAATGGAAGATTTAAGACTGGGTGATAGTTCAATTTTTTTTTTTTTTAAGAAGCGGTTTAATAACCACCTCTTTCAGCAGGTCTGCGAAGGCTCCCTCACAGAGGGAAGCATTCACCACCCCACGGATACCGTCACCCAGCCCTTCCTGGCTCTCTTTTATAAGCCAGGATGGGCAAGGATCAAGGAGACAGGTGGTTGGTTTTACTAGTCAAGGAGCCTGTCCATGTCCTTGGAGGTAACAGATTGAAATTGACCCTTGACTAGACAGGACTCTAGACATGGCCCTGCTCCCATGGTGGAGTCTACCTCTTTCTGAATCCAACCGACTTTATCTGAAAAAAAAACCCCTGCAAAATCGTTGCAGGAGATCTTGGGGTCCTTACCAGGCCCCAATGGCAAAGGTGGTTCCATTAAATTGCGAGCCACCTGAAAGAGTTTCCTGCTGCTGTTTTCTGCAGGTGCAATAGAGGTGGTGAAGAAGGTCCTCTTTGCTGTTGCTATCACCACTTGGTAGGCTTGACGTTGAGCTCAAACCTGTGTCCGGTCCAATTCAGAATGAGTTTTCCACCACCAGTGCTCTAGCCGTCTCAGCAATTGTTTCATCACCCTCAGCTCTGGGGAAAACCACAGGGCTGTCTGGGCTCCATGCAATCGGAGAGGGCGCTTCGGAGCCAGACAGTCGATAACCCTGGTTAATTCCACATTCCAGCAGGCCACCAGGGAATCAGCTGAAAGGCCATCAACATGATGGTTGATTTGACCCTTCAACCCCCATTGTTCCTGATGTAGATCTTCACTCCATTCTTCTTCCCTGGTGGGGGAAGATACCATTTTGTGGTTCACCTCAGGTGGCAAAATATTCTTAGTCAGCTGTGGATGTGAGGTAGGTACACACCCAGTAGTAAGATTTAAGATTTAGGACAGACTAAAGGAAGCACTTTTTCCCCACGGCACATAGTCATCTCTAGTGTTATGAATTAGAAGACATCCTAAATTCTGGATCAAGCTAGTTAACAGGATTTAATTAAGGCGTAGAGTGTTAAAGCTATGCTAGACCCATATGTGAATTTGAGCTGTGTATTGTACACTTCTAACCCTCGGGAATCAGCTTGTGTCAAAAGCTATTTAAGCCAAGATTAGCCTCCTGCGTGAGCCAGTAGGGTATTGAGTGATTAGGACTACGAAAGATCAACAGCAAATCTCATTTGCAAATGAGTGGGCCCCCTCTCTCCCTCAACTGATAGTTTAAAAGACAAGTCCAGTGTTATAGGTTAGGGTTTTTAAGGATTGGAGTTAGGAGTTATGCATGGAGATACTGCAATGGCCTGAATATACGTTGTACCCCCAAATAAGCTGCACCTTTAAAATTCAAGGGGAAAAATACAATACCCAGATATAAGCCGCTCCCTTGGCCAGCGTTGAATTTTTTTGGGGTGCCCTAATCACCCTGATGCTCAAACCAACCAGTGGGTTGGGGGTGGCACTGGCACTCGGTATCCCGCTCCCCAAGTCGGCACCAACACTCGGTTCCGAGTGCACTGTGTGCCCGCCTCCCAGCACTCCCGCCCTGAATGAGGGGTGGGGGCGGCTGGCCCCCTGCTCCCCAGGCAAGCGCTGGTGTTGGACCCCTGCCACCGCCTCCCCAGGGGGGAGCGGCCATTGCTGGAAACCCCAGCAGGAGAGGAGAGGCGCTCTTGTGCTCTTGTCCTGCTCCTGCTTCCCCGCAAGAGGCATCTGCTTGGCTGCTGTCAGAACAGGATCCCGGGCTAGGTGGGCAACTGGCCGGATCCAGCAGGGCTCTTCTTATGTTCGGGTTGGAAAGTGGAGCTCACTGCTGCAGTCACGGAGAAGCCTTGAGCTCTTATTGACACAGACGTGGGCTTGTTGGTTTTTTTACAAACTGAACAAAGAGCAAGCCCCGTTTCCCAAGCGCCACGCAAGACCCGAATGAGGAAGAGCAAGAAGTGGGGGAAGGGCGGGTTGACCAGGCAGTCAAAGCCAAACTGAAGTCCTGCGCTTCCCATGGCTATCTCTAGAGGGCGCTCTCTTCCGAAGTGAACCCGGAGTGCGAGTCTCCCGGTTACATCTCGGGGCCCTCCGAGCACAAGGCCAAAGAGCAGCGCCGGAGGCTCCGAGTGCGCCTGCGTAGCCTTTACCCTGCTTTGGACTCCTGCCTCGCGGCGCCGTAGAAGCGCGGAGCTCATTGGTGGAGCCGCCAGGCGCGCCCGGCCGACGTGCGCCAGCCAGTCAGAAGCGCGGGATTGGAGGAGGCGCTTCCCCCGCCCGGCGGGCTCTGAGGTGAGAGCGCGAGGCGCGCGCCAGGCCGACCCCTTTTCCCTCTCGCCTCCGGCGCTTGGCGGGGTGGGTGGGCTAGATGACCCTCGAGGGCCCCCTCCCGCCCTGCGGTTCTGCCACACGGACTGCAGAGCCGAATCGCCCCCCGCCCCCCAGTTTTGAGCGCCAAGCGGGAGCCCCTCGCTGCTCCTCGGGAGGAAACAGCGCAGTCTGCGGGGGCGATTAGGCTCCCCGTTGGAAAACTGACGCCCTGGCGGGCCAGCCGGGTCCCCTCGGCCCCCTTCCCGGGCCTTTGGCCAGGATCCCCTCCAGGCGGGCCTGTCGCTCTTCCCTTTCTGTGGTCTCCTCCTGAGGCAGCGGCAGCCCCGAAGGCGCCGGGAGAGAGCGGGTCTGGCCTCGCCCGAGGGTCTGGATGCGTCCCCGTGCTCACCGCCCAGGAGGACTGACTAGGCCTCCTTTGGAGCGATGACTCGCTTCCCCTGGAGAATAAATGCCGCAAATGTCCCCAGTGGCTTGCAGGGCAACTTCATCTAAAGCTATATTGAGAAGGAGCTATTTGCACTTCTGGTTGGCACCCATCTGTCTCGAGAGACATTGGAAGAGGGCACCATCGGGGGCAAAGTCAAGCCGCTGAAGCGTTAACCGTGCCGGCTGTGGCTGTAGAGACCAATACGGAAGAGACTTGCTTTGTTGCAGATGAAGGCATTCACTTGTGCTGCTGCAGATGCACCACAACATTTCCCCCTCTGCACTGGCTACAATACCATCAAATAAATGCAATTTTTGACAAACATAAAAAAGAACGGATTTGAAAACAAAATTTCAGCACTAGAGAAGGAACTGTTACATTATAAGAATACATTATAAAAAACGTATAGGTTAATTCTAGTTTGGAATCTTAAGGACGGAGAAATAAAAAAGTAATGATAAAGTGGGTGCAAAATTTAGGACACCCCATAGAATTACAAAAATGGGAAGAGTTGTGGAAAAGAAACCTAAAATTTGCAGCATGTTACTTAATCAAAGAAAACTTTTATGAAAATGCAGTTTAGATGGTATTTAACCCCTACAAAATTGGCTAAAATAAATAAAAGTTACAATAATGTTGGAGATGCAAATCTCATGAAGGAACTTTTCCCCACGTGTGGTGGATGTGCCCAGAAATTAAAAAATTCTGGGACACAGTCTACGAGGAGATGAACAAAATATTAAAATTTACATTTAAGAAAAATCCAGATGCATTCCTACTAGGTATTCCAACATGACATTCCAAATGAAAGAAGAACACTTCTCTATGCAGCAACTGCAGCGAGAGTACTACAGTAATGGCAAAGTATTGGAAGAGCGAGCACATTCCATCTAGAGAGGAATGGCAATTAAAACTCTGCAAGTATTTGGAACTTGCAAAATGACGGAATCAATAAGTCATCAGAAAACGTTAAAAAAGGGTGGGAATGCTTCAACAATTATTTATCAAAACAAGGCGCCATATCTAAGATTTGGTTGTGTATGGAATAACTCCGTAACCCCCCTGTAATTTCTGTAACAATAGGGATATATTGTTTCCTCATACCAAGATGACGAGGAAACATTAAACACAGGAAAGATTTTAGTAAGAAAAAATGAACCGTTTTGAGGTGGATGGAAGTCCATAACAAGTAAATACATAAAGAGATTCAATGCATATGAAAGGTATTTATGAGAAATACTAATACGGGATTGAATTGTATTAAATAGTATCTAACAAAAGATACGTCGTGTTATTTTTGTGGGTGGGTGTGGGTATGTGTGTTTGTTTTTGTGTTTTGTTTTGTTTTATTTATTTATTTTAAGAAAATGTGGGCTCTTGTCATTGTTTTAGTGTTGTCTTTTTCTTTTTTTTGTTTCCTTTTTTCTTGAATATAGAGATGGAAGGGTATTTTTTGGATATTATTTGATTTTGTTATTTGATTCATATAGAAGTTATCAATTGTATGTGTTTGTTATTTATGTATTTGTATATTTGTATATTTTGAAATAAATGTATATTATGTGGGGGATTAAAAAAAGTAGAACTAAGATTGCAGCTTTATATGTATTTTATAACAAATTTTATTAATTTTTCAGTTTATACATCTCAAAATAAACATTTTACATAATACCATGTAACAATTGACTTCGCTCCTTCCCGTTTCATAGTTCATTTTACTTATCTATCATTCCTGCATATTTTACTATAGCCAATCTAGTCGTTTCTCCATTTTACATCCTTCAGATATTTACCATACTGTTGACTTTATCTTCCTTACTAGGGATCTTTCTCACTTTCCATTTTGGGGCTAGCAAAATTCGAGCCACCATGGTTGCGTACATAAATGTTTTTTTTCTGACAACTGGGAACTTCAGACTGAAGTATTCCCAACAAAAAGACCTCAGTTTTTTTCGGGGAATGTCGTTTTAAACATTTTTTTTAACTCATTGTAGATAATTTCCCAATAGCCTTTAGCCTTTTTACATGTCCACCACATGTGAAAAAATGTTCCTTTTGTTTCTGTGAATTTCCAACACAGATCTGATCCAACTTTGTACATATTGACCAACCTAAGGTAAAGGGGCCCCTGACCATTAGGTCTAGTCGTGACCAACTCTGGGGTTGCGGCGCTCATCTCGCTTTATTGGCCGAGGGAGCCAGCGTACAGCTCGTCCGGGTCATGTGGCCAGCATGACTAAGCCGCTTCTGGCAAACCAGAGCAGCGCACAGAAACACCGTTTACCTTCCCGCCGGAGCGGTACCTATTTATGTACTTGCACTTTGATGTGCTTTTGAACTGCTAGGTTGGCAACCTACTCAGCGTTAAATACTATCTATGCATCATTTTCATATACCATAATTCTCTTTCGAAGCATAACATGCTGTACATTTCAAATCACTTCCAGATTTCTCCCAGAGGTTTAGGTCTATGTTATGCCCCATAACAGGGGTCAGCAACCTTTTTCAGCCATGGGCCAGTCCACTGTCCCTCAAACCATGTGGTGGGCTGGATTTTTTTTGGGGGGGGGGAATGAACGAATTCCTATACCCCACAAATAACCCAGAGATGCATTTTAAGTAAAAGCACACTGTAGGGGTTCTAGGAGTTGCTCGTGCGTAAGCCGGTGCCCACACCTGGCTGGGTTGCCTAAGTGAACCTTTTCTGTCTCAATCGCTGGCAGAATCCATCAGTGGGCGTTTCTTAAACTTCTTCCAACAAAGAAGTTCTTTCACGCCCAGTCTCCTACTTTCCCTGCGCGGAAGCCTTCTGCGCAAGGAGGGCGTAGGCAGCAGAAGACCCTTCCTCCCCCCGTTGGTCCCTGGCAAGGAGTCATGTGACCCCCTCTCAGATTTCCCCATCAGCCCCCCTTCTCCACTGGAGCTAAGCTGATTCCCTTCCCCAGAAGATGGGCTGCCTCTCCCAATCCCGGGACGCTCTCTGGGATCCCTCTGGAGCTTGCTCTCTCCCTCCGGCACTGATGGCAGTTCCCTGACATCCACCTCCTCCTCAGGATTCCTCCCACCCCCGGCACCATTTTCCGACACAACCTCCTCTCCTCAGCCGACAATGCGGGGAATCCCCTGAAAGAGCTGTCATCCTCTTCTGAGGATTCAAAACCAGCCTCCCATCCGCTCGGATCCCTTCCCGCTGGTTGAACCTCCCAGTCTGATTCTTCTCCCTCGGACACCTCCTCTCCCTCCTCTTCGGAGGCAGGAAAACCCACAAAGTCCCCTTCGTCGTCTGTGGGTTCAAATTCTTCCTCCCAAAATCTAGCTAATGGTTTGGGCTTATCCGGGAACAAACTGTAGAATTCTTCCACCAGATACTCGTCAGTGATTGATTCAGCCGGGACCCACGTGTTTTCCGACCTGGGTTCCCCCTCCCAGGCTACCAAGTACTCTAACTGGCGACCTCGGCACCTTGAAACGAGTATTTCCGTGGCTTCGTTACAGTGTTCCCTCTCCTCGACCCGCGGGTGGGTGGTAACCCCTCCCTCCCGTCCCGGGAATTCCCGCCCCTCCCTGTACGGTGAAAGTAGGGACCTGTGGAACACCGGATGTATCTTCATGCTGTCAGGCAACTTGAGTTTAAATGCCACTGGGTTCACCTGCTGCATTACCTCAAAAGGCCCCAGCCGCCTAGGGCACCCTCCCTTTAGGGCAACCCTTGGGATGACAACCACACCCGGTCTCCCACCCGTATGGCCTCCCCCTCCCGACGGTGCCTGTCCGCCTGCCTCTTGTAAACTTCCTTGGCCCGCTCTAAGTTCAGCCTGAGTTGCTGGTGTAAGGCCTCCATTTCCTCCACAAATTGCTCAGCCACAGGTACGCTCCATCCTTCCTCCCCCCGCCCCGGGAATGCCCTGGGGTGACACCCGTAATTGGCCATGAAAGGGCTCATTCCCGTGGACACGTGTTCAGCGTTATTGTACGCAAATTCAGCCAAAGCTAATTTCTCTACCCAATCGTTTTGTCTCGCTGACATAGCAGCGTAGGTATTGCTGGAGTATGCTGTTCGCTCTTTCGGCTTGTCCGTTGGTTTCCGGGTGCCTCGCTGTCGAGAAGCTCACCTCAACCTGTAGCAAGCTCATGAGTTTCCGCCAGAACCGGGAAGTAAATTGTTTCCCGCGATCCAAGATTACCCTCAAGGGAGCCCAATGCAGTCTAAAAATGTGATCCACAAACAGTCTGGCTGTCTCCTCTGCTGTTGCTGCATGTGAGCACACTACATAATGGCACATTTTTGTCAGTAGATCGGCTACTACCATGACCGCTGTCTTTCCCCTTGGGCAGATCTGTCATAAAATCGATGGACACCACCTCCCAGGGCCTTTCCGGTGTGGGTAAGGGTTCCAGTAACCCCGCGGGGGCAGCCCTTTCCCCCTTTGCCCTCTGGCATCGGTTACACCCTCATACATATTCTCTTACATCTTCCCTCACCTTTGGCCACCAGAACTGCCTGGTGACAAGTAGCATGGTCTTGTGCTGTCCAAAGTGCCCAGCTGTTGGGTTGTCGTGGAGTTGTTTAAGTACCTTCCCCCTCAAAGTCTCCCCCGGTACATACAGCGCCCCCTTATAGTACAATAGCCCTTCCTTTTCCTCGAACCCTCCATTGACTTCCCTTCCGTCCCTGAGTTCCCTGATTTTCGTCTGAGCAAACTCATTGTCTCTGGTGAGCCCTGCCAGTTCTCGTTTCCCAACCAACACTCCCCCCCACACCCACCGGTCCTCGGGGAACACGTGCCTGGTCTCTGGTGGCCCCTCTCCTTCCATGTACTCTGGTTTCCGGGAGAGAGCATCTGCCCTTACGTTTTCCTCTATCGGCACATATCGGATCTCAAAGAAAAACTTGGCGAACTCCTGGGACCATCTGATCTGTCTCTGGTTGAGCACTCGTGCGGTCCGCCAGTATTCCAAGTTCTTGTGGTCAGTTCAGACCTGGATCTTGTGCCGCGCCCCTATCAACAGATGTCTCCATTGCCGAAATGCCGCATAGATGGCAAGCAGTTCTCGGTCATACACTGTGTAGTTTTGTTCTGATTTGCTCAGCTTACTCGAGAAAAAGGCACACGGCATCCAGTTCTGCTTGTCCCCGGGCTGCAAAAGGACCACTCCAATGGCGCGGTCGGACGCGTCCGTCTCCAGTCTCATGGGCTTCTCCGGATCCATGTGCAGGAGCTGTTCTTCCAAGGCAAACGCCCTCTTCAGTTTTTCAAAGGATTGCTGCGCTCCCTCTGTCCACGCAAACTTTTTTTTCCTACTAAGACAATCCGTTATGGGCGCTGTCAAGTGAGCGAAGTTCCTTATGAACTTCCTATAGAAGTTGCTGAAGTCTAGGAACCTTTGCACATCCTTTCTGATTTGGGGGGCTTTCCATTCCAGCACTGCCTTTACCTTGCCCGGATCCATGGCTAGTCCCTTGTCTGACAGCCTGTATCCCAGGAACTCGACCTCCCTGGCGTGGAATTGGCATTTTTCCAGCTTGACCCACAACTGATGCTTCTTCAATCTCTGTAGCACCTCCCTGATGTCTCTGACATGTTGCCTTTCATCGTCCGAATAGATTAAGACGTCATCCAAAAAGGCTATGCAATTCTTGTACAGCAGGGGCCCCAACACATGGTGCATGAAGGCTTGAAAGCTGGCCAAGCCCGATTGTAATCCAAATGGCATCACTAAGTACTCAAAAGCCCCCAGGGGGGGTGAACATGGTCGTTTTCCATTCGTCCCCTCCCTTATCCTAATCAGATTGTATGCTCCCCTGAGGTCCAGCTTGGTAAAAATCTTCCCCTGCCTCACACGTGTCAAAATATCGTCAATCCTGGGCATTGGGAAAGTCACGGGTTCTGATACCAGGTTCAGGGCCCTGTAATCCACGACTAATCTGGGTTGATTAGTCTCCTTTTTGTCCACAAAGAACACTGGACTGCCCCCCACCGCCTTAGATTCCCTTATGAAACCTCTCTTCAGATTCTTGTCAATAAACTGCCGCAGCTCCTGCATCTCCCGGTCGGACATGGCATACAGCTTACCCACTGGTAACTGAGCCCCTGGAAGCAGGGCCTGTGGGGGGGCAGTTTGTCTGCCTCCCTTTCACTGAAGACCTTCAAATCAGCATATTGTGGTGGCACCTGCCTTTTTTGCTCCAGGGCCAACCCCGCCACCCTGGCTACAGTCATTCTTGGTTCCTTCCCTCCCAGACAGTGTTCTGAGCAGTAAGCTGACCCAAAGGTGACCGACCGCTGATGCCATGACACCACCGGGTCATGTAGTGCCAGCCAGTTCATTCCTAGTATTATTGGGGGTCCTGCCAGCGTGGCCACGTGAAAGGCAATGGTTTCCGTGTGCCTAGCAACCCTCATTCGCATTGGCGGTGTCTGGTGTGTCACTTCCCCTCCCAGGAGCTCCCTGCCATCGATGGTGGTCACCTGCAAGGGAAAATCTAGTGGCAACAGGTGGAGTTGGTGCTCCAGAGCGAAGTCTCTGCTGAAGAAATTACACGAGCTGCCAGAATCTAGCAGTCCCTCCACCTTGACGGGGTGCCCGTTTGGGAGTTCTAGCACCACCTCTATGGCCTGGGGGGGGTCAGGCCTGGGGGGGGGTCAGGCTGGGGCACTTCTATTGGTTGCTGACCTGGCTGCTGGCCCCGCTAGTTGGCAGCCAGGCGTTGGCGTTTCCCTGCGCCTGCCCCTCCTCCCCCTTCTCGTCGTGGCCTGCAGCCCCCATCATGCCTTGCCAGGCCTTTCATTGAGGGCAGACCTTTGCAAAATGTCCCGGTCGCTGACAGAGGAAACACTTCTTGGTAGTTTTCCACTCCTTTCCCTCCCTTTTCCGACCTTCACCGGCGTTTGAAACTTCGCGCGCTGCATCAATTTCCATCGGCTCTGCCGCCTGGGAAGGCTCCCTCAGCATTTCAGGAATGCGGTTGTCATGGAAACGTTCCGCCCTTATCTCCTGCTTCTCCTGAGCCCGCGCTTCCTGGCGTACCCCGATCGCAAGCACAGTCTTTGTGAGTTCATCCATCGACCGTGGGTGGGGCGCTCGGGACAATTCGTCTTTCACTTCAGGGGACAACCCCCCCTCGAACAACATTTGCATAGGTTCGGAGCCCAGATCCCACCCGAGCTTGTGGACTAACATCGTGAACTGCGACCAGTAGTTTCTGACGGACAGGCTCCCCTGCTTGCACCCCATCAGCTCCCAGCATGTCACGCTTTGCTCAACCTCGCTGGAGAACATCGCGTCCATCGCCTGGTAGAATTTATTGAGATCTTTCAATGCATCATTCTGCGTCGCCATTAGGGGCCTGATCCATTCACGCGCCCCATCCTGCAGATGTCCCACAATGTAAGCCACCCTCTCCCCGTCATTGGCAAAGTCATCTTTCTGCAGTTCCAAAGCGTACTGGATTTCCATTCGGAATGCATTGTAGTCCTGGGGCTTTCCACCAAATTTGTGTACCAGCCCCTGAACCTTCCTCCCTATTGGGGTGGCTCTGACCTGTGCATCCTGAGCCCGTCTCTCCTCCAGCCGCGCCATCAGGGTAGCTACATGCGCCTCCAGGTCTCGGTTCCTCTCGACCAGACCTCGCACCAAGGCTTCTTGCTCTGTTCCTCCGGCCGGCTCTGTTTGGCTCATCGTGCTGCCTCTCCGGGACTGCGCACAAGCAATGTCAGGGACTGACGGATTGCTGTAGGGGTTCTAGGGGTTGCTCGTGCGTAAGCTGGTGCCCACACCTGGCTGGGTTGCCTAAGTGAACCTTTTCTGTCCGGACAGCCACTCACCCGTGGCTGTCTCAATCGCTGGCAGAATCCGTCAGTGGGCATTTCTTAAACTTCTTCCAACAAAGAAGTTCTTTCACGCCCAGTCTCCTCCTACTTTCCCTGCGCGGAAGCCTTCTGCGCAAGGAGGGCGTAGGCAGCGGAGGACCCTTCCTCCTCCCGCTGGTCCCTGGCAAGGAGTCATGTGACCCCCTCTCAGATTCCCCCATCTGCCCCCCTTCTCTACTGGAGCTAAGCTGATTCCCTTCCCCAGAAGATGGGCTGCCTCTCCCAATCCCGGGACGCTCTCTGGGATCCCTCTGGAGCTTGCTCTCTCCCTCCAGCACTGATGGCAGTTCCCTGACACACACATTCTACTCATGCAAAAATATGCTGATTCCTGGACCATCCGCAGGACGGATTTAGAAGGCCATTGGGCCCTTGGGCCTTAGGTTGCCTACTCCTGCCCTATATCCATTGCCCAGTGTGTCGTTGAAGCTTTGACTAACTTGTCTTTCATTTCCCATTCTAATGATAAGTTATACATTTTTTACAATAATTTATCCTTATTCCATAATCATTCTCTTTCATACTCTGAGCTTTGATCTGGAAACCCTCTGTTGTAAACAAAAATTGCCCTTTTCCCTTATGGGGTGTCCAAGAGCCCGTATAGAGTCCTTACGTAGGTTCCCTATTGATAGGAGAAAATAACAGGCCAACCAGAGAATATTGAGAAGCAAAGCAGCTAGTAAGCTTGATCTTTATTGATCTGTTGCAACAGGGGGCTCCCTTCACCCGCAGGAAAGGAGGAGGAACCCAGAACAATGGCTCACAAGCCCTTATAAAGACTTTTGAAATTGCCACCCTGTAGATCAAGACCACCCCCAGAAACATCATACAGACATCACAGAAGGGGTGTGATCTAAGACCACCCCTCAGCTACATCATACCTACATCACAGAAAAGGCGGTCTAAAACAGAAATTTGAATGTTTTCCTCCTGTCATTGTTTATCTCCTGTCTGGCAGGTTACTTGATTGGATTGCCTGGAGAGCCTGGCCAGTCTTTTGTAATGATAAATACTTAGTTCCTGAGTCCAGGTCACAGGCTCACACCCTATTCATATCTTAAATGTGTCCTTAAAACAGGATTTGTAAGGAAAGAGACAATGGGGAGGTTTCCCACTTTGACCTTGCAGAGAAATCATTTGCTCAGTTTGGGAATCAAAATGGTTTCAGGTCGGTCTTCCTGTGCTGATCTATGTACGTGCTTGGTTGGTACACTTCTGAACATTACCATATATCTAAGACCTCAAAATTCCTATCACACCCATTTAAAAAAAATATCTAATTTAAACATATAATATATTTGATGATACTATAACCAATCCGTAATTTGGCTCCTTACTTCTTCCATTGGTTTCAATCAAGGTTCACTCCCTGTAAATTCCAACAGATCTCTGTATGTAGCCCATTGTCTGTTTATGTTAATTCCCTTAATTGTGATTGCTTCAGTGGGGGAATACTATTATTGCAGCTTTAATACCTGTTTAATAACTGCATTCAGAATTTCCCTGATGCTTTGGGGCTGTAAAAATATGCAGGAATTCACTTTGTTTGTTCTAGGTCATTACACTGTAGGCTACAGTACAAAGGGGCACTCTGTGTCTTGCATTTTAAAGTTGCAACTAATTTTGTGAGGGGCTTCTAAAATTTCAGTACTGTATAAAGCAACCCCACTTGTTTTCAGAGAGGTTTCACTCATATTAATTTAATTACTTTCTTTTATCTTTGTCTCACAATTTTTCATAAAATTCACTTAATTTTGGTGCTTAAATTGATAACTCCAGTACCAGTTGGCATATATTATTATGGTTGTTGCAATCAGAAATCATATTTAAAAATTATGTCATGGTGCAATACTATGTTCTCATGCTTGAATCTCTTCAGCTATGTTGGTTGTTTATATTCTTTCAACTACAGTATATGATACTTTTGACAGTATCAAAGTCATCTTGCTAATTTGTACCCATTAATGATCATAATATAAGTAACAAAGTAGTCTGGTACTTCAAAAGTATAGAATTAACCCTCAGTTGGGGGTGGGGGGGGCAATCTGTAAATAACAGCTTTGTCTTGCCCAGGTAGGTTTTTTAAATACCAGTTTTTCCAATGCTAGATTATAAATTTATTAAACTCTCTTAATATCTTCTCTTTGGTAATGTGAACAATTTAATTTTATTTGTTGCTGCTTTAGTTTTTTTGCTTTAATTTGCTATACTAGTTTATATGCTTTATATTATTATTATTATTATTATTGACCTTTTTGTTTCTCATTACACTGTGATCTGCCCTGGCAGCATCAGGCTGCATGCACATCATACGTTTAAAGCGCATGGCTGCTTCCAAATAATCCTGGGGACTGTAATTTACCCCTGACAGAGCTATGATTCCCAACACACACTTAATAAACTATAGTGCCCAGGATTCTTTTGGGACAAGTATGTTATGCACACAACCTTAATTTATGTCAAATTAGATAAATTAGGTAAATCATAGGACATTTAGTATTGGAAGAGAGAGCTACAATTAAAAGAATCTTAAATTTAAACAATTAATTGGTTAAATCTGCATAGTTATATTAAATTTAGAATATATGTCCTGCTACTTTAGGGAGCACATTTTGAAACAAGCAATTAAAAGGTTTTTAAAGTATTACTGAGTTGCTAGAATAAATATTGCAATCCTCATTTTTAATCTTAATTGTGACCTGGATTGTCTTCTCATCTGGTTCGGATACTGAGGCAACATCCTGTTGATCTTATGTTCCATTGAGATGAAGGCAGACTCTTTCACCAATGAATAACCAGTCTCTAGTTAGCCAGTATGTTACTTGTCTGATCTGGAGTCTACATTTTGTGTTTATATTTGCTGCAGGGTTGACTTGTTAATTTAGAATGAAAAGAATGAATGGTCTGACTTGATCCTGAGGGCAAATATTGACTCTGGTTTGTAGTTAGGTGGACTTTGTGCTTGAGGTGGCAGACCAACATCACTGAAAATGGAAAAGGAAGCATCTGCTGAAGCTCGGAAAACCACCCAAGAATCTATAGTTAAAGAAGAGGTATGCAATGTTTGTGTGCTTTTTGGCATGTTATTTTGAAGCAACTTAGTTATTGTGATCAAATACTGGGCTTAGTATTGCATAATATCGTATGCAAATGCTACGTATCCTACTGTGATAATGGGAAAGCAGCACCTTTATGTGACTTAGCAAGACCATTTCCTATCATCCAGAGATCTTGCAATTCCAACCTTTTGTCAGGATAGCTGTTTTGCTTTGGAAGGTTATTCTGTTTAGGTACCAAAAGTTTGGAAGCTGATATGAGATGAGTTAGAAATAAGAAAGCAGATGCATCAAAGTCCTTATAGTGTATGCCTGCACTGCAGTTATAAACATAACCACATTTAATCAGTCAATTCATATTTTAAATTTTCTTTTATACTTCTATTCCGTTATTCACCAAATGGTTCAAGGGTGGGTTACAAACATAGGGAACAAGTTGTACTGAACACAGCCCAGCTTGCTTTTGAGCAAACATGCATCACACTGTCCCGTTGAAATTAATGGCAATCTAATGCTCTTCAACATGACCTTAATTGCTCTGAAGACGTTTGTGTTATATTAAGTGAGTTCTGCGTTGGTAATCAAATGTCTGTTGATTCTCAAGAATCAAGAGCAGGGTTCATGGAGTTCCTCACGTAACATCCACCTGACTTCTTGATGTGTCTAGTAAGATGGGACTGCCTCAGTGTGCAGAAATCCGGTGTCCATTAGAGGGACTTGTTAATAATCTGTAATATTTTTCATGCTTAGCTTCCTCTTAATTGGTCTTCTTGACCTCTTGCTTGCCTGGTGCATTTTTGCCAATTCAGTCCCGCTACATTTGATGGTCCACGTAATGTCCAGTTTACCTACCTCTTTCCGCCTATCAATCACATGCCCGTGGGTTGCTGTGAGTAGTTGGGGTAATGATTTAAGCTTGTGTCACAACAGTGTAGGGGGTCACGATAAATTTCTCTCTAGTCCTTCATATCTTTTGTGTAACGTTGTGTAACATTTCAAACAATTGCTCAGTCATTACAGGTCTGGTGTGAGTGTGTCAAGTGTGACCAGGGCAGAAGAGGAATTTTATGTTTTTTCTCCCACTTAGTGATTAAGTTGTTGTTATTTACTACATTCTAGGCAACAGTTCTCTGGAGAGTCCACAGATCTAAACCATTTTAAAATAAACTTAATTTCCACAAAACCTGATTTCTGAGTTCAGCATAGCCTCCTGTTACTTATGAAATCAGCTCAATAGCTCTTTTCTCATGGTGTTGCTTATATGCCTTTCATTTGTACCTCTGAATGTACCTATAACCACAGTTATTGATACTTAACCATACAGTCATAGGTATGTTTACCTGGAATTTAGTCCTAGTACATTCAGTGGGACTTATTCCCAGGTAAGTGTGCATAGGATTGTAGCCCTGAGCTCCTACTCACTTGCCTTTTCCTCTTGCCTCTCCTTTTGATTCCTGCTGTTCCTTGTTATTGTTGTCTTCTTTTCTCTTTTTTTTCCTTCCTAACTGCAGTGTCTCATTCTAAAGTCATGAAGGATTGCTGTGGCTCAATGGCTTCCTTCCATTCACTGGCCACACCTGCTCTGTCAGTAGATAAAGCATTAGTGTGATGTCCTTGGGGTCCTACAATAAAGCCCTGGCTTCTAAGGGTCACTGGGTAAGCCAAAGTAACTAGGTGTCTAGTAACTCAGGTTCACCCTCACCATAAAATTATCCAAAATACACTTCTGTCAACACCCACTGAAGTGCAGAATAGTAGGACTTTCCTAAGTATGTTCATCTGTGCAGATAAAAGCAAGAACATGAGGTGGAATTCAACCAGACCACAATTCATCAAGTATTTGAACCAACTATTGTATTTATCTAGAAAAGTCATTCGGTGGAAGGGGTAGCCAACTTGATGGCCACCTGATATTGTTGGACTACAACTCCTATCAGCCCTACCCAGCATGGCCAGTGTTGAGGGGTGATGGGAACTATAGTTCAGCATCTACAGGCCATCATGTTGGTGAACTCTACAATAAATAGGAAATAATGTTTCTGCCTAATGCACCGACCCAACATATCAGACTCCCTGCTTCACTATCAGCCTTTGTTCCGGGTCCTTTTCACCTGACTCCTCCAACTGTCATTCTTAACTAACACTCCTTATTTGCCATTCACCTTGATTCTACCCACCATTCTGTCTCACTCTTCACTTCATTTCTCCCACACATTCTTCTAATAGGACTAGTACTAAAATTCTTCTCTCCAACAAGAATGTAAGAACCACCTTGCTGAATCAGACTGAAATCCAGCTCATCCTGCACTGTTTGCCAACAACTAGAGATAACAAGTGAAAGCTCACAAAGGTGGTGGCCATTTGTTCATTGAGTGTGGTGTGCAATAAGCAAAAAACAAAATTAAAATAATTTGGGCATGGTACTCTTGAAGGGACTGCTGCTGTTTAGGTCACACAGATCCGGTGTTTCAGTCTCATCACAGTGTGAATTAAGAGCAGAGTACTCTTGAATTTGGTTTCATACCATTCCGCCTTTGTTGGGCAACCTTTGCTTTGAGAGAAAATGCAAGTCCATTTCACCATTTCATAGTGTAGTGGTGGGTGACCTGTGGCTCTCCAGATGTTGTTGGAATCCAACTACCATCAGCCTCAGCTAGCACAGCCAGTGGTCAGGAATGGTGGGTGCTGTAATGCCTCAGAATCTGCAAGGTCAGAGGTTTCCTATCCCTGCCATAGTAAGCAATTCTGTATTTGGTTCACTTGAGGAAAAGGCACATACGGTACCTGTTGTTTCCCCTTGCCTTTGATTGAAATTCTAGTACTCTCTGTAGAAAATGACCATGTTGTAAAAATAACAGTGCCAAATTATTCCATATATTGTTGATTCAGGCTGCTTTAAAAATGCCCTCAATGGTTAATGTTCATAAAGATTGCTTCCTGTTCAGGGCATATGATCCTTTTCCAAGAGCACATGAGAAAATTATAGAGGGCTCCCTTTACTTTTGAACTTGCACACATCTCTGTGTTCACAGCAAATAGTTCTTCATTCATGTAATGTAATGCAAATACTTTGGTAATGCCTACCATTTTGGAAATGGCAAAACAGCAAAACTATTGTCTTCCTTCATCTATGAGTAAAATCCTGCCATTACTGAACTGAAAGAGAATGCTGATGATGACTTCAGTTTTCCATATTAGCTGTAACCACAGTGGAGGCAGTTTTCATGGTTGTTCCAAATCATCATCTTTGTGGTGAAAATAAAGGGATCGTAGTAGATACGTCAACAAAGATGGTCAACCCAGTTTGCAGCAGTTTTGGAAAAGCTTGAATCCTGCTTGCTAATTTTCCATGGGCATCTGATTGGCCACTGTGAGAACAGGCTGCTAGACTTAGATGGGCCATTAGCCGGACCCAGCAGGCTTTTCTTAAGTTTTTAAAATGTTTAAGTGATTTTTTCCCCCCTCAAGACGATTGCAGAAAGAAAATGGGTGAAGCTTGAGCAGACAACTTACATTGACCCTGAAGGTCAAACAAGGTAATAATTTTTACCTATTAGCTGTTTTCTAAACCATGGGGTTTTGAAATAGTGTTCTAAGGTAAAGGGACCCCTGACCATTAGGTCCAGTCGTGACCGACTCTGGGGTTGCGCCGCTTATCTCGCTTTATTGGCCGAGGGAGCCAGCGTACAGCTTCCGGGTCATGTGGCCGGCATGACTAAGCCGCTTCTGGCGAACCAGAGCAGCGCACGGAAACAGCGTTTACCTTCCCGCCGGAGCAGTACCTATTTATCTACTTGCACTTTGACGTGCTTTTGAACTACTAGGTTGGCAGGAGCAGGGACTGAGCTAGTGTTCTAGAGAGCTTTTAATAGTGTTCTAGGGAGTTCACATAGGGTTCTTCATTGAGGACACCAGTGGTGATGGACAAATCCCATCAAATTGCAAGACAAATTGCCTATTCCTCTCTATCTGCCCTTGCAGCACATCTCCACAGGAGAGAGTTGGATGTGTGCATAGTTCATGCTGGGCATTTGTGAGTCACAGTAGGCTGGGCCAGCACTCTGCATGAAGTAGGGTGCCCAGATGCAAAAGGGCATGTGGAAGGGGGAATTTCAGCAGGTATAGCTTGCATGACAAGCCACACCTACTGAAATTTCCTATTTTACACAACTATTAAAGGTGCAGGTGCCCCCCCCTTCATGATAGGGTAATCATGAGCTGGCTCCTCAGACAACATCCCAGAATTCTCTGCAGATATTCATGGCCTAATAAACCATGCTTTGTTAGCCAGCAACCCTTCATCTGTAATTCAGTTTTTTTCAATTGTCTCAATTTCTTACTCATATTTATGTTTCATTGGAACATAGAAAAGCCACAGATTATGGAGCTGGCCTTAAAAGTAAAAGTAATCTACTTGAGAATCTTGTATTTCATTAAAAAGAAAGAAGAAAGTTTCTCATCTGTTTGCATAAGTTTTCCTGAAAGTTTTTAGCAATGCCTAATGTATATTGGAAGTTCCTAGCTGAGAGTTGGGAACGCCCCCTTTGTGAGACAAGGATTAATATCTACTTTTGAGAGAGGGATTTGTCTTTTCTTTGCTCTTTTTATTTTTATTTAGATTTGTTTTTTATTGTATGATGACAAAGTTTCATTAAAAATTACGGGGGGGGGAGAGTAAGTAAGAGCCGAGGTTGCTCAATATTTCTAGTGCTCAGAGGTCAGGACTTATGATCTGGAGCTTCTTCCTGTGACTAGTGAAAGCAGAATGAACTATGCAACACTGGGAAGAAATGCTGCATCGATTGGGCAAAAAAGAGGTCACATTTGTTTGCATAATTTATTCCAGCTGCAGAATTCTGCATTTGTTAGAGTCACTTGGTGCATACCTTTGATTATTATTTTTTAACATTTTAACATTTTTTTAGCATATAGAATCATAGAATCATAGAGTTGGAATAGACCACAAGGGCCATCGAGTCCAACCCCCTGCCAAGCAGGAAACACCATCAGAGCACTCCTGACATATGGTTGTCAAGCCTCTGCTTAAAGACCTCCAAAGAATATACTCTCAGCTTTGAGAGATTTTTTTCATGAAGGAAAAAAATTCTCTGTGACATCAGCAAGAACTCCGTTCTTGAAGTACCTTAGGATGTAGAGTGAGGTATTATAACAGTAATAATGATTAACATCTCATTTTGGGAACCAACATGTTTACATTGACATCTATCTTCTTCCCATCTCCTCCTTTCTATTTAATAGAGTATGGGAATCTGTGAAGCGTACTACCAGAAAAGAGGGGGTTTCTGCTGATGGTGAGCAAGTCTTTACATTGACAAACACAAAACACCTGTTACTTCACTGGCTGCTGAGAGTCTCCTAATGTTAGATAAGCTGGGGACATACATGAGAGAACACCAATATATATGGGAATATTGATTGTTGAGATTATTGGTCCTTCACCAAATTTCAGGCAAGCATTTTATCGTCGTTGAAATTTATAATAATTATAATGATGGTTTCCATTTTCATTCAGTAGCTAGTGGTTCATAACAGTGGCTGTATGTGTGAACAGGCCCCCAGGCATGCCCTCAAAGCTAAGTGACCTGCCAGTCTTCCCTTCCCCACCTTTTATCATCAGAGCGTGGAAAGGAAGATGCAAAACAGTGTGGTCTGGTACCCGCTTGGATACTTGTGGATAGTAGGCCACAGCAGCACTGTTAAGATGGTTTGAAAAAAGAGCCATATGAATTTCCTAAACTAATGTTTGTTTCCAGTTGTGTTCTGGAGAATCCTGGTGTTCATTAAAAGCTTCTTCAGGGCTATAATTAGGAATGGCAGACTGGCTTCTCTGATGGACAGCTTGCCACCTATTCCAGTCTTCCCCTATGATTGGCAGCTGCAGCTTCTCCATTCACCTATGTGGATGGTATGACCCAACAGGTCAAACCAAGCACCTTATGTGAACTGAGGATATGCCCTAAATCATCTTCCAGAATCTTCTGCAACATTCAGGACTTCCAAGTAGATACTGAAATTGTTCCCTCAAGGGAGAAAGTGTGAAAACCATTACTCTGAAACTGATAACATGGACACAACCATCAAGTACACTGCATGAGATACCTTGAGTGAGTTACTGATCTTTGTCTGTTTCAGTGCAGGCATGTTTTTGCAAGTTCCTTCTCTGTATTGGCAGGTGTTGCTGTTATTCCAGTGTTGCAAAGAACTCTTCACTATGACTGTGTTGTCCTAGTGAAGCAATTTAGGCCTCCCATGGGAAACTACTGCTTGGAATTCCCTGCAGGTAGGTGGTTCACCTCAGCTTCCTTGTTAATTTTAAGGTAAGGCTCTTGCCATTGTGAGAGAGGCACTAGCTGTTTCTTGGGATGCTTATATGTTTGGAAATAGGCCACAAGTCCTGTGTTGCAAACCCCTTAGGTTAAATTCTTTCAGTGGTATTGCACCCTGGACATATCTGCACATTGCTATTTCTGATTTTATCAGAATTAATGCCTTGTAACTAGGAATGGAGGAGAACTTTATTTGGTGTGCCCTTTTAAGTGAGCAGGCCTATTTTACACCTTCCTAACTAAGACATAGATTAGAACACAATTATCCTTTTGATCTTGCACTTCTCTGAACTTTGCAATACATTTTTTTTGTTGGGGGGTAATCAAGGTGTAAAAATGTGTATTTTAGGATAAAGTGCATTCAGAAAGGCATTCATTGAGGAAAAATACATTTAAATATGTTCTTATATACAAGTTTTTTAAAAAAAATCAGAGATGAATGTGGAAAGTGGATGGAAGACACTTACAAATGAACCCGTGTCAAATTGATAGGGACAGAAATGGGCTGTGCATGTAACAAGAGCCAGACTAGGAAGTAATTGCTTAAAACAGTTGAGAGCAGCAAGGAATGTTGAGAGGGAAGGTCAGCTTTCACTTGCCTTCCCTTCACACTTCTTTTTGGCAAACAGGCCAAGTATTGTGTAAGATACATGCATTTGTCCTACAGATCTAGTCTGGTATGGAGCCTCAGGATTCTAAACATGCCCCCGTAGTCTGTACTCTTCAAAACTTGTGTGCCCCATCCTGTGAAGTATCTTGCTGGTATCATTATGAGGAGATTGGCTTTTTAATGCATATGTATAATGCATTTAGGGATGCGGGTGGCACTGTGGGTTAAACCACAGAGCCTAGGACTTGCCAATCCGAAGGTCGGTGGTTTGAATCCCCGCGACGGTGTGAGCTACCGTTGCTCAGTCCCTGCTCCTGCCAACCTAGCAGTTCAAAAGCACGTCAGAGTGCAAGTAGATGAATAGGTACCACTCCGGCGGGAAGGTAAACGGCATTTCCGTGCGCTGCTCTGGTTTGCCAGAAGCGGCTTAGTCATGCTGGCCACATGACCCAGAAGCTGTACGCCGGCTCCCTTGGCCAGTAAAGTGAGATGAGCACCGCAACCCCAGAGTCGGTCACGACTGGACCTAATGGTCAGGGGTCCCTTTACCTATAATGCATTTTAATAATTAAGTAGTGATAGGGAGAACCTGTGGGCCTCTAGATGTTGTATGCCAGCTCTCATCATCCCTGATCGTCAGTCACTTTGGCTGGGGCATATGGGAGTTGTGACAAAATTTCGAGGGCGCCAGATTCCCCATCCATGAATTACAACATTTATCTTGCCACTAAGTCTTGTGCTTTCTTCCTAGCCATGCCAATGTCATCACCCCCCCCCCAAAAAAAGGTCCATTTACCGTTGTTGATCTTAGTTACAATTCAACCTTTACATCACAGGTCTAATTGATAGCAATGAAACCCCAGAAAGTGCTGCTTTACGTGAGCTGGAGGAAGAAACAGGATACAGAGGGGAGATCCTTGAATGCTCTCCAGGTAACTTCTGTATTTTGTCTTGACTGTTTGGATGGAAAATGTTGATGCATGTCCTTTTATGGAGCACTTTGGAATGCTCAAAGGGCTTGCAGTTGGAAATATCAAACATAACTGCCATACCATAAATGCTGTCTAATTATTTTCTAATAAATGCATGCTGGAACATTTCACCAGTGCAAAGAGGCATGCCCTAGCAAACTCTGGGCATACCTATGAAGGTGCTGATGGAGCTGGTCAGAACACTTGCAACATTTGGGGCTTTTCAGCTGAGAAAAAGGGAGAAGGGAGGGACATGAGGAACATTATGTGGGGAAAGTGGATAGGGAGAAAGTTTATTCCCCCCCTCCTCTCATACCAGAGCCCAGGATCATTCAATAAAGCTAAGTGGTTAGAAGCTCAGGACAGATGAAATGAAGTACTTTCCCCAAACTGAGCCCATCTAGGAGAAGGAAAACTGATCCTAAACCTCTGCTGCCTTGCAGGATATTTTGGGGAGAAGAAAGGGCTAAGGTGTAAATCCTACACAAATTTGGAGCAGAGTCCCTAAGATGGTTGGATGGCACCGTGTCTGCCTCCTCCTGGCAACTCCTGCAGCCAAGCTGGTGCCAAATGTATGGCTCCGCTTTCCTTTTAACCACATCAGTGAGGCTGAGATGGCAGTCTTGTTATCTGGGCAGCCCAGGGCCTCCAGACACACTGCCCAGGCTTGCTCCCCAGAGGGGTCACTTGAGTGCTGCTAATGTAGCGGTTTGCCTACCCCCAGAGGCACACACATTGTCTCTCAAGACAGATGGATCCCACCAACAACTGGTTGTTGTAAAATGCTTGGCTATCTAGTTTCTGAATTCCGTGTATTTCTCTGGCTTGCTGGAACTAGAGGATCTGAGCGTATGCACAGTGGTCCCTAGTCTTCGGCGGCACATTAGAGTTGTTTATCTAGTTCTTAATTAGGAGCAGATTCTGTGATATTCCTTCTGTGTCTTTGAGAACAAATGTGTATTTATTAGCATGTCAGACAAATAACTGAAGAATGATGCTTTCTGCAGCTTTGTGCTTGGATCCTGGATTGACTAACTGTGCATCACACATTGCAACAGTCACCATTAATGGAGATATTCCTGCCAATCTGAAGCCCAAACAAAAACCAGGTGAGTCCACCACTTGATATAATCTTCTCTTATTCTTGTATCAAAACATTTTCAGTGCCCTATTTGAAACACCCTGTATTTATACACATATATTCAAAGTGAAATTTCTGTTCATGTTGGTGTCTTTCTGCAAGGAGCCAAACATAAATCCTCAATATAAGAGTTGTCAATGTTATACCTAATAGCCAGAAAGCAGGAGTCATTGTGTGGTTTACGGGAAATACTGTAGTAGCATTTTTGTGGACTGTCCTATTTACAGGATGCAAGTGAGGCTTGCACAGTGTGACTACTGCTCCACTTTAAAAGCATATATAGTATGATTAACACATTTTTAAAAAGGATCTCCAGGCTCTGCAGACTGAAGTTGTGCCCTTCAGAGTTCCTCCACTGCTTGGCACAAATACAGTGGTACCCCGGGTTAAGAACTTAATTCGTTCTGGAGGTCCGTTCTTAACCTGAAACTGCTCTTAACCTGAGGTACCACCTTAGCTAATGGGGCCTCCCGCTGCCGCCGCGTCACCACCACGTGATTTCTGTTCTCTTTCTGAAGCAAAGTTCTTAACCCGAGGTACTATTACAGAGTCTGTAACCTGAAGCGTCTGTAACCCGAGGTACCGCTGTACAGAAATACAGATAAGATAAGAAACAAAGTAGCATGGTAGCTCTTAAACTGTCTGGGAGCTGCATAAGCCTAAATTCAAGAAGGTGCAGTAGATATTAAGAGTCTGCCTCCCCCTTAGTCTCACCCCTCCCCTTTTAGCTGCATGGGAAGAAGGGTTCAGTATGTGGGGATCCAGGGCAGGGGGCTTCCTTGGTCTGAGGGAAGCAGCTACAGTTTGTCTGGTAGGAAGCTGTGGAGATTGAAGAGAGGAGCCTTCGGGGGCAGAAGTGGAGGCATCTTGGGTGTTCTGAGCCAGGGGAATGTTAATATAAGTAAATGTGGTGGCAGGCATTGTGGCAAGGCTGTTTAGGAAGAGGCGGAACTGAAGGGTTGAGCTGTGTGGGGTTGCTAGAGACCGAAAAGTGTCCTGGAGCATTTAGAGAGACAATTCAGATAAGTGGATTTAGGCTTCAGAAGTAGAGCAGCACCAAGAAGCCTTGCTCATGATGTCATGCATGCTGAGTACCACCTCCCACCCTCCATGTGTGCAGCACAAACATCTGCACGTAGGGAGCCTTTGCACATGTTTGCACTGTATATGCAGGCGCCAGGGACTCTACCATGCAACAGCAGGACTACTGGATCCAACCCTGATCCTGTGCTGCTCCATTCAGGAGCATGAGCAGCTATATAGGACTATGTTTCAATAATATTGTGGATAAATTGTTCAGAAAGGAAGTCTGATATCAGAGTGAAAAACAGAAGTATCTAGAGTCACAAACCTTAATTCCCATTGTGTTTATGCTTTGTTTTGTATATGCAGAGGAAGGAGGTACGTTGTCTGCTTAAGTTCACTATGGCTGGCATCACAGATAAGTATGCTAGATACTTCTGAATATTCCAGTGTAGTTTTGGCTCAATAAAGCCCTTTTGTCTTTTAAGTTCAATAGCTATCTCTTTCTGGGTCACCCTAACTTTTTCCAGTAACACATTGAGTAGTATAGAATTTTAAAAATGTAGACTTCACTGGTGTATTAAAAGAAGTTAATCCCATTTAGCATGATCTGCAGGAAAGGGATCCAAAATCAATTTCCTTAAAAAGAAAAGTTGGGAACAATGGGTTGGATCCAAAAAACTGAGTGGAAAGAAAGCAAGACACTAGCACTGTTCTCCAAATGGGTTGACACAGCCTAAGTAGTTGACCCAAACTTTTGCACCGCTGCTCTTCTTGTCTGTGATGTCACACTGAGCTTTGGAGACACCTAGGAGAGTTGACAAGCCCTTGCCTCTTTTTCACTCTGCGGTGGCAGGGGAGGACATGGGTTTGACTGTTACACAAAGCTCAGTGTATAGATCTTTGGCTTTGTAGAGTATGGAGGAATCTCCCAGACTTTACACTGCCTTAGGAAAGGCTTGAAAAGCACCGAGATCTTTTCCAGAGAAATTACCCACTGTCTCCTAGTGTGGACGAAGAGGTGATCTTGCTATTACCACTTCTGAGGTGACAGATATATTTGCGTAATTCCACTTGTGTAAGAGTTCATTGCACACTGCTATAAGTTCTCATGCTTCCATTTGTGCAAGTTTTTTGGATTTACCTTCACTTTTATTGCATAACCCTGAAGGTAGAGGTGCAAAATAGCCCTTTTGTTGTTAAGTTGCTTTGAGACTTTTTTATGAAGTGACTAAGAAATAATAATAGTAATAATGATGATGATGATGTTGTTGTTATTCTGTAAGTGGGAGACACATTCCATGAGCAGAAGGACTTTTATTTGGATCCAGTCCCATACTTCATGCAACTAAGTTTTGAACTAGGGAAGAGATGAGGAAACCTGTGACCCCCCAATTATTATTGGACTACAGTGCATACCAGCCCACATGGCCAATGGTCAGGGATGATGGGAGATGTAGTCTGATAACACCTAGAGGGCCACAGGTCCACCCCTCAGAACTAAAGTTTCCATTATTTCTAGGATAGTGTTTTCGCAGGTAAAAATCAACAGAGCTCAACTGCAATGTTGTGATCTCCTTTTAACCGAGGAGTCAGAAACTGGTGACGCCTTTGACTAATCTAGTCCTCCAAATCCTAGTTCATGTGTACCACAGAATAACTGCCTTCAATATTGGCAATAGAACACCTCTTTCTGATTCCTGGTGACCCAAACATTTGCCACTGTCTACCTCTGCGCACCATTACTCAACACTAGGGGGAGTAAGCAGTTTTTTGCAGAAACAGCTGGCCTTGGGTGGAGGAGCGAAGTACTGTGAATAGGAGGCATAGTCATGTCAGCATAACATGAATGGGGCTGGTTGTAGCTCACTGGCTTTCCTTATAAGTTTCAGTATATGTGAAACTCATCTTATTTTCAGCTTTAGACTAAAAGGAGAGTCACCTTGTGGAATAGAGTAGAAATTATGTAATGCGTAATTTTCTTTCTTTCCCCTCCCTCAGAATTTGTAGAAGTTGTTACACTACCAAAGAATGATTTATTGCAGAGAATTGAGGGTAAGTACCATCACTGAAGAAAAGATTCATGAAAATTGAAATGGTGGCAGAGTTTGCAAAGTCAGGGCCTTCTAAAAGGATTTTCTGAGAATGAAGCATATTTTTCTTGAATGCCAGGGAAGATTCCCAATAGGAGACCTATTTCTACCTGACATCAGTCTTCTGAGCAGGGATGCTTAGCTACACCTACATATTACCCTCCAAAATACCACAGCAAACCGTTATTTCATTTATACATCCTTGAAAACCTGTGAAGTAGATGGTTGAGGCAGGATTTCATGTCCCTGTGGAACTGCACCTATTAGCTGCATCACTGGCAAAAAGAACAGACCTGCTTGTGAGCATAGCAAAACTGAAGGGGGGAAGAAGCAAGACGGACAGGAACAAATAAAATATACAATATGGGGGGGGGGTCAAAAGGAGAAGAGTGGAGGAGGTAACTGAAAACCCTGAGAGGTAAAAAAAGACTCTGTGTGTTTAGTCATTGGCCGTATTTTTTAAAAAGAGGCCTGAGTTTAAAAAGGAATTTTAAGCATTAGCTCAAGTGTTTTGCAAAGGGCTGTTCTCTGCTGTTTTTCCTCCAAACCACTATAGTTCCTTTAAAAAAGAAACAACCTCAAGGATTTTAGAGCCAAACTGCATCATCAATAGAATGATATGGCTGAACTCTTGAGGCTGGGGGTGGGATGTCTGGCTGCTCTGCCAGCTTTAAAACAAAACAGCAAAGTCTTCCTGCGTCTGGAACAGGGGTGGGAAAACTTTTGGCTTGAGAGCCACATTTCTTTTTGGGCAACCTCACAAAAGAGGGTGATGAAATGACTGTAAATGTTACCACTGTACTGCAGGCTGGATTCTACACACACTCTTCTCTGACCTCCAGCCAGGCAAGCAAGAGTTGGTACTGGAGGTCAAGGATTTTCCAAATTCATGATGGAGGGGATGCATCCCAAAGGCCAGCTAGGGAGGCCTGGAGGTCAGCATTTGATTCTCACTGCAGGCCTGAGATTCCTCGTCCCTGATATGGAAAATCAGGGGAAAGGCATGGTGGATTTTTTAAAATCTAGGGTGCAATCAGACTTGGTTTTCCTTCTTCTGCAGCATTAAGAGCTGTATTATGCTGTTCTGCCTTATAACAGTTGGGGGGGGGGAGTGTGCACTCTCCTCTGTATCGCTGTTCTAGTGGTCATCTTACTCAGTTTTATATGACTTTAAGACCAAACATCTTGGTAAAATTTAAGTACAATTATACCTTGGAAGTTGATCGGAATTTGTTCCAGAAGTCTGTTCGACTTCCAAAACGTTTGGAAAGCAAAGCACGGCTCCTGCAGCCAATCAGAATCTGCGGAAGCCCCATCGGACTTTAGGCTTCCAAAAATAGTTTGCAGACCGGGACAGTCACTTCCAGGTTTGTGATGTTCGGGAGCCAAAATGTTCGAGACTATAGTACGACTATGGTAATATTCTCCTGACAATTTAAGATCACACAATTCAGAGAGAGTTGATTATTTATTGTTGTTGTTGATTGAACTTGGTGAGAACCACCCAGAAAACTTTGTTGATTGGGCAGTTGGTTGGACAGCATGGCCTTGGTTACCATATCCTGGCTCTGAGTGCAGGGTGGCACACAGTTGTTTTCGTTATGTCCTGAATGCTCCGTGTGTGGTCTGCCAGGGGGTGTGGGAAGCAATGGCCAAGGCTGCTCCACTCACTTTCTGGCAGACCACCCATGAGAAGAGCATATGATTATTTTTGCAGATTTGCTTTTTCGCAACTACCACATTGCAGAAGGTGCACGTAAAACCAAGTTGAACTCAGATACAGTAGTTTCAACAATGTTAAGTGCATACAATGCAAAGTTTTGTGGCCTGAAAGCAGAGTGTAAAAAAATTAGCTCAGTCAGTACAGCCTAAGATGTGATCTCAGGGTCTTGGGTTTGAAGCCCCACATGGGGCAGAAGATTCTGGCATTGTAGGAACCCTTGTGGTTCCGTCCAACTCTGCGATTCTACTCTTTTATTCTAACAATACACGTTTCCTCAACATATGTGTGACTTGTGTTCTTTGGAACATTGGGATTAAACCAGTCTTGCTTATACTACTTTAACAAAATATTTATCTATTTTTTCCAGAGCTGGTGTCAGAGGAGCACATGATAGTCGATGCAAAAGTATATGCTTATGCCTTGGCACTGAGGCACGCAACAGATCAGCCATTCCAAGTGCCATTTATGAAATTCTAAGACTGCTTAGTTGTTTGGAAGGATGTTCCTGTATGGAGCTAAGGCAGCATTTCTTTCCTGTGACAGTCAACAAGCTGAATGAAACAGTAAGCTTTTTCTAAAAAAAAGAGAGTAAAGTTTATAGCAGTCTAACTGGCCTGTTTGTTGAAAAGAAAGAAACAATTTCACTTAATTCATTTTCTGTATCCAATTAACTGGAGATTTCCTGAGAAAAATAAATCTCTTACTGCCTTCTGACAGGGTATTGTTCTTCTTCTATTGTCTTAGAAATTCTGAGCCCTGAAATTAGTGTGAGCAGAAAGACTAGCTTTGTGAGGGGCTGGAATCTGGCTTATTTGTAAATCAGGTATTACTTGTTTTTTCTCCCTAAGCCAAGGGCCTTAGATGGAAATAGGAAAACAATGTACAGTGGTACCTCGGGTTAAGAACTTAATTCGTTCTGGAGGTCCGTTCTTAACCTGAAACTGTTCTTAACCTGAGGTACTGCTTTAGCTAATGGGGCCTCCTGCTGCCACCGCGCCGCCGAAGCACAATTTCTGTTCTCATCCTGTAGCAAAGTTCTTAACCTGAAGCACTATTTCTGGGTTAGCGGAGTCTGTAACCTGAAGCGTATGTAACCTGAAGCACATGTAACCCGAGGTACCACTGTACAAGGCTAGGCTAGTAGCCAGAGGTTTCACGCAGTGGAAGGGGCTGCATTACACTGAAGTGCATGCTCCTACTTCCAGAAGTGAAACTCTGCATATGCTCTTAGCCATTGCTGCACAGAGAGGTCATCAGGTGCATCACTTTGATGTGGATGTAGCCTATTTGAACTCAGACCTAAAGGAGGATCTGTACATGCTCCCTTCATGGTTTGAGGTCAATAGGCCAGATGCAGTGTGGAAGCTCCACAAATCCATTTACAGCCTGAAACAATCGGCCAGGAACTGTAACTTGTGTCTGAATGAAGCCTTGCAGGGCATGGGTTTCAAGAGGAGTCTTGCTGACAGCTGCCTGTACCTGAAAGGGTCAGGAGAGTCACAGGAGCTAGTATCGGTGTTTGTAGATGACATAATCTACGTGGCCAGGACTGAGAAACGGGTTCAAGGTTTTGCCAAAGAGCTTGGGAAACGTTTCCAGCTCAAAAACCTAGGTCCAGTGAAAATTTACCTAGGCGTCCAGGTTGATAGAACCCAGGACGGAAGCTTCTCTCAGTCAGAAAGGCAAGATTGAGCAGTTGCTTGAGAAGTTCAAAATGTCTGAATGTGCAGGGGTCAGAACACCCATGGAAATGAGCTACGTGAAAGACAGTAAGCTTGGGGAACATGCTGAGTTCGAAAACACAGATCTTTCAGTCAGCTCTGGGTAGCCTGTTGTATCTCTCCCAGTGGAGCAGACCTGACATAGCGTTTGCTGTGAATCTGCTCAGCAGGGAGGCTACAAAGCCAAGTGTGAGTGCCTGGAATGGTATCAAGAGGGTGCTGTGATACCTGCAGGATACCAAAGATTTCTGCCTCAAGCTGTCAGCTGAGGATGAAGCACAGCTCACCTACTGGGCGAATCTGGAAGACAGGAAGTCTGTGTCTGGAATGGTAATAAAGTTTGGGAAATCTCTAGTTGGGTGGAAGTCCCGAAAGCAAAGTCTCATTGTGCTTTCCTCTACTGAAGTGAGTTCAGTCAGTTGTCAGAACTCTGCAGGGAACTAGAGTTTTACACTTGTTTGGTCCAAGAAATCTGTAGGGATTGTTGTTTGCCCATCACTGGGAAGACAATCAACTCTATCTGAAGTTGGCAGAGTCTGGACAGTTCGAGTCCAGAACCAAACATTTAGACATACATTTCCAAAATGTGTGTCAGGAGTGTCCAGACAGGCTTGCTGAAGCTGAAGTACTGTCCAAGCCAGCAGAATCTGGCAGATGGGTTTACTAAACCTTTGAGCTTCCAAAGACACAGTGAGTTCTGTGCAGGGTTGCTTTTGGGGTAAGTGATGTTGCTTGCATTCCCCCAGCGGTGCAGGACAAGAGGGGTCTGAGGAGAATCAGAGCTTATAAACAGCTCAGAGTCTGCATCCTGCCCACTGGAGTGGTCTCCATCCGGGGATCTGTTCTTTGTGTTCAGTCTGCTTTCGGTTTTGTCCGAGACTGGAGACAAGATGTTGTCGCCCGAAGGTGTTGATTTATTGTTGCTGCTGTACATAAAGCTTCTTAGATTAGATACAGACTGTTTTCTGCATGCTCACACACAAGAGCACACACTGTTTACTCTGCTACAAGTCCAGAAAAGCTGAATGGCAGTGGAAGCGTACAGGACTCATTCCTCATTACTTCACAGAGACTCCCATGCCATAGATACTGCACTGTTACAAACCAGGATAGTAGAACTCTGCTGTTAAAAACTTTTATGGACTAAACAGAAGGTGAGAAGGCTGTGGCAACACCAAATGTAATTTTACACACCTTGAGAGTAGCAAAATCAATTCTTGGCTTGGGGGCACACCAACTAGTTTAACAAAATAAAAATCATGGTAAAGCAATTTGCACATAGTAAGAACAAGTACCAGAGCCCATAAATCTCTAGTGTAGAAGGGGAAGAAGGCTATCTTCAACAAGCTAATCTCTCTTAGCCACAGTTTTTATAAATCCCAAATGAGAGGTAACACTGGCCCACCTTACAGGCTCTAGTAAAAGTATTTTCATCCAGCCAATGTTAAGTCCCTTGAGTTTAATGGGAGAGTTGAAAGTCTAGTAAGTAAAGCATCTTACACAACAAATAAAGCAACATTTAAATTAAATAAGTTTATTGTCTAATGTTTACACTGCTTACACTGCTGCCAAGAAGCACAATGATTTCTTTTTCAGCATGACTTGCTAATTTCCTCTGCTTTAAGACCTAGGGCTTTGGAAGAAGAAGGGGAGAAGTTTCAACAGTATCTATTCCCCCTGCTTCAAAGAACACATGGGTCTATAATAAGGCAAAGCAGCACTTAGAAGGCTGCTACTGGCTGCTGGGAATCTTGGATAAGGACTTCCAACCTTACTCCCCCATGTGCCTTCACAGACCCCAAATTTGCAAGTGAGATGGTTAAAATTCCCACACACACCCTCCTGGCTTCAAAGCATGGTGCTTGCAAGGGAGCATGGCAAAGGCATCAGACACTGACCCCACACCAGGAGAGTTGGGGTATGCAACAGGTCACATTTCTTTAAGTTGTATATCAAAAGGAATTCATGTAAATATATATTTCAGGGGGGAAATTGCATGTACTTTTTAAAATAAGCTCAGGGATTCTCACATGTGGCCACTTGGAACTCTATTGTTGTGGTTCCCTTTTGCCAGTGTGTGCAGGTACATTCAAGCCTCATGATGGAGTGTCCAAAGTGTTCTCTACTAGCAAAATGGGCATCTTTTGACTATTTCCACAGGAAGGCAGATGCACTATTTTCCAGCATCACAGGCAACAATGGATTTTTTTTGTATTTTTAACCCGTGTAAACTCTTTATTCTTAAGGCAGCTGAAATAGAAGCTGCACACAGGCATTGTGCAATACCTATTATGAGAAATATGGCAAGTAGCATTTGGAACGGGGGTGAGGGCGGGACTGGCATTACTGGAATAAAAGATTGCATGTCATCAAAATACAGGAGTTCCTTTCTTACACATCACATGGTATCTCAACATTTAGAAAAATAAAGCACCCACCCCTCCAACCTCTGCCTGTTCTTTGACAAATATCTCAAAATATTGATAAATAATGGTGACAGCAAGTAGAATGCCGGTGCCTGAGCCAATGGCACCAAGGAAGTCCGCTAAGACAGAGAGGGCCCCGATGCACAAGCCTCCAAATGCAGCTGCTGTGGGGATGTACCTGTGGGAGGAAATCACTTTTAATGTGGGCCTAGCAGGCTGAATTCATTCTTCTGCACAGGTAAGTCATTATGGCTTCAATCCTAACCCCCATTAAGTTAAACTAGACTCATGAAAATGAAAACACACCTCTTGATTCACCAGAGAGGCTGAAAAAGCTGTAGACTAGTTAATAACAGCCTGAGTTTGAATCATTTCTATCCACAAAGCCCAATATTTCTTTATGATTGTGACTGCAGCAACAAGGGGCCAGGTAGAGAGGCAGCAGGATTGAGCTGGAATGCATCTGTGTTCTGCCCCCAACATATAGTCCAAGCTTAAACATGCTTACTCAGAAGCAAGACCTGCTGGGTTCCATGATCTTACTCCTTAGTGGGTAAACTGGAAATTCACAGCAACTCTTACCTGTTTAATTCATGAACCATGGATGTATCCCTGTGGCCTCTCATCACCATTTGCTGTTCTTTCAGTTGCTTGGCAACCTGCAGAAACACGTGTATCAGGTGGCTGCAGTGTTCTGATAATTAGAAACCAGCCTTGTGCAAAGAACAGCAGCAAAGGTTTAGAGAACAGTCATGAAAAATACCTACATCTTTTGCAGATGATCCTGACACTTCAATCCACGTCTTGGAGAAAAATGCACAGGAACCCAACATAAATATGATATAAACAATTACATGGACAGGATCCTCAAATATAGCACCCATGGATTCTGGAGGCGAGAGGTAATAGCAGAGGCCTCCAACAGGGTAGGCACGTGCTGGACCACCACCAGTAACGTCCTGGAGAGGAAACACCAGCAGCATTAGTGCCCTTTGCGGATCAAAAGCTAACATACTGCTACTTGTAAAGGCAGCATTCTAGGAATGGGTGAATACTTACCGCCCACTGCCCAAGTAAGTTTACCAAGAAGTTGCCACTGAACCGCACAGACAGCATTTGAGAAATAACATAGAGGTTGGAAACTAAGGCAGACTGAAGAATGATGGGAATGTTGGAGGTGTAAAAGAGTTTGATAGGATAGCTACTGTATTGTCCGCGATATCGAGCAGACTTGATTGGGAGATCAACACGAAATCCCTTGGGGAGGAAAAAAGAAAAGTTAATCACTAAGCTATAAGAAAATCAGAAATGCATTCACTAAGAAGTCACAGAAATTGTTAAGTGGCTTGGAACTTTGGACTGGATTATTTGCATTTCTGTTACAATTAACCAGAACTGGCCATCTGTGATCCTGAGTCCAAGGATTTATCAGGTCATGCCTGCACAGTCTAGATGCCAGAAGCAAAGGTTTTGCCTAGTTTTTTTTAAATCAATATACAATTCCTCTGCTCTGCAATTAATTGTCATGAGCAGAACTTCTCTGTGGCCACTCTTTCACCCTCCATACTCCTTGTCTGAGTCCTCCATCCCTTCCCCATCCAGACCACTCCACATTTCAAATCTCTGCTGTCTTTTCTCAAGCTCTCTTGCTTCTACAGATGCACAATTGTGCCTCTCCTTTCTTTCTGCCCTTTTGCACTGTCACAATCAAGAATCCTCCCAGCTCAGCCGCTACATACAAGGACTCTTCTGCCTGCCCCATGCCTCTCAAAAGTTGTTTGTGGCATGGCACCAGACCCCACTTCTGTTTTAAATCAAGTCCCGCTAGGTATGCCCAGGCACCCGGTATACTGACAACAGCTCTTCAGATCCTGACCCTGCTCTCCCTCTGCATTCTCCTAGCAAACAGTGGAACTTCAAATGAAATGGATCAGCAGTAGGTTCAGACACACAAAGAGGAAGTACTCATTCACACAAAGCATATTTAACTTCTACGGAACTGACTTCCACAGGATGTCTGATACCCAGTGGCTCAGATGGCTTTAAAGGGAGATTAGAAAGATTAATGAAAGCTAGACACCAGAGAACACACAATGAAGGAAGAGTGCCATCTTCACACTCTGTGTAGCCAGATGTTACTGGGGTGCATGGAAGCAACATGGACTAGATGGAACCCTGTGGTTTGCTTCAGCAGGGGGTTCCTCACATTTTCAGAATCTAGCAACAAAGCTAACCATCACACATTTCTGTTATTTCCAACACCGACACGTTTTATAATTATACAAGGAGTTCAGGGCAGCCTCCCATCCAACAGGGCCAAACCTGCTTAGCTTCAGCACTTAGGAGTGGGTCATGAACCTTCAAACCATCATCTGGGTCAAATCAAGCTGCACTCTATTTTAGAGACAGTTACAAAGCAAAGCTACAGTATCCAAAAGAAAACAGTCACCGGTGTTAACTACTGTAGCACCACTCCAAATGAAAGTGTTGGTGCTGATCTTTAAAGCCCTCAACAGCCTCGGCGCAGTGTACCTGAAGGAGCGTCTCAACCCCCATCCTTCCGCCCGGACACTGAGGTCCAGCGCCGAGGGCCTTCTGATGGTTCCCTCGCTGCGAGAAGTGAGGTTACAGGGAACCAAGCAGAGGGCCTTCTCGGTGGTAGCGCCCGCCCTGTGGAACGCCCTCCTATCAGATGCCAAGGAAATAACTATCTGACTTTTAGAAGACATCTGAAGGTAGCCCGGTTTAGGGAAGTTTTTTAAGGTTTAATGCAAAATAGGCAAACTCGGCCCTCCAGATGTTTTAGGACTACAACTCCCATCATCCCTAGCTAACAGGACCAGTGGTCAGGGATGATGGGAACTGTAGTTTCAATACATCTGGAGGGCCGAGTTTGCCTATGCCTGGTTTAATGTTTTACTATGTTTTTATATATGCTGGAAGCTGTCCAGAGTGGCTGGGGCAAACCAGTCAGATGGGTGGGGTAGAAATAATAAATTATTATTATTACTACTATTATTATTATTATGGGCTTACTATGAGTTTTAACTCCTAAAAGACAGAGAAAAGAAGCTACTTGTGTACTTCAGTGTAATGCAGCCCCTTCCACTGCGTGAAACCTCTGGCTACTAGCCTAGACTTGTACAGTGGTACCTCGGGTTACATATGCTTCAGGTTACATACGCTTCAGGTTACAGACTCCGCTAACCCAGAAATAGTGCTTCAGGTTAAGAACTTTGCTACAGGATGAGAACAGAAATTGTGCTCCGGCGGCGCAGCAGCAGCGGGAGGCCCCATTAGCTAAAGTGGTGCTTCAGGTTAAGAACAGTTTCAGGTTAAGAATGGACCTCCGGAACAAATTAAGTACTTAACCTGAGGTACCACTGTATTTTCTCAAACTAATTTAGAATAAAAATTATCCTAACAAAAGTTCTTTGCAAACTTGAAATTGTGGCCTTCCTCCTGACACAAATGCTACAGTGAACGTTCTGGTGCCTGGTGAGCTATTCAGAGATCCTTTAGGGCTGTTTAGGATGCTTAGACCACGGTTCCTTCTGTGAGGGAAAAATAATAGTTCTGTAGTAAGATGTACGCAGCATACTTCACCTACCTGAAAATATATAACTACAGCAAACACAAATACTGTAGCAATCAGATTCATAAGATTAGGCAAGTTCTGGCGGTAGAAAGCCTCCCGTAAAGCACGGACTTTGTCGGTTCGTGTAGCCAAAAGGTGGAACAACGCAATGACGGCACCTTCAAATTCAGTTCCTGTGTGCACCAAAAATAATAAACAGTAACCCCTATGAGATATAGACAGTACAAGCCTGGTAATAAATTTCACCAGGTGATAAACAAGATTATTTTTAATAAAAGATGGAAATGGAATTAACACAGAGAAAAAACTGCAAGGAATGAAATCTTACAAGGAACAGAATGCTAAAAAGGACTGCATACAAATAAAATAAATTGTGTTGAACTTCTGCAGGTATTACAAAAACCTCAAACATGACAACACATTTCTGTTTTTTAATGCAGAACATCATGCTTTTGTTTTATAGAATTTGGGTGTTGTGATCCAAAAAGTTACAACAACTCAGTGACTAGATTTGGACAACTGTATCTTGACTTACTTAGCTGAGGTATGAACAAGATGTCTGGCTATGCATGCAGCCTTTTGGCTCCTCACTTTGGCCAAGCAAAAAATTCCCAGGAAGTTTCCCATTAATTCTAGCTTCCTGTTTCCTCTAAGCCAGGAAGCTGTGATTAAGAGCTCCAAATAAAGTTAAGGTATTAAGCAAACTTCAAATGATAGTGTAATATTCTAGCCTATTCCAAATCTATTCCCCATAATTTCTAAATCAATCAAAATGGGAAACATGACTAATGGAAGACTTCCTAGTTTGTTTTTGTGACCAAAAAGATTGTTCAGAGCTCAGATTAATAAGCAAATTAACAATGTCTGAATTGTGATAGTGTAAAGTCATAATTTACAAAATATTTGCCCCAAAAGAATTATTAGGGTGATGCATTTAAAAATAATAATATTTATTACATTTCTATAAAGCCCTTCATCTGAGGATCACAGGGCAGTTTGCAATATATATATGGCCCCCTGTTTAAAAGACCATAGATTGTTTAATTAGCTGAAGGCCTGAGAGAAGAGGTATGTTTTTGCCTGGCACCTAAAGAGACGTTCCATAGATGGGCAGCCACTGCAGAGAAGGCCCGTTCCCATGTTGCCACCCTCTGGACCTCTCAAGGAGGAGGCATACGAAGAAGGGCCCCAGATAATGATTACAGGGTTTGGGTCAGTTCATATGGGGAGAAGCAGTCCTTGAGGTATTGCAGTCCTCAGCCATTTGTGGCTTTATAGGTCAAAACCAGCACTTTGAATTAGGCCCAGAAACTAATTGGCAGCAACTGCAGTCGGGCCAGGATCAGTGTAATATGCCAAACCTCTCTTGTACCTGTGAGCAACCTGGCTGCCAAATCCCACCAGCTGACATTTCTAAACTGTCCTCACAGGCAGCACCACATATAACACTGTGCAGTAATCTAACCAAGAGGTTACCAGAGTACAGAAAACAGAAGTTAGGCTATCCCTGTCCAGATAGGGGCGTAGCTGGGCCACCAACCAAAGCTGACGGAAGGCACTCCGGGCCACTGAGGCCACCTGAGCCTCAAGTGACTGCAGAGAATCCAAGAGTGCCCCCAACCTGTGTACCTGCTCCTTCAGAGGGAGTGCAACCCCATCAAGAGCAGGCAGCCTTCCTTCCATCCAGTCTAGGGAACCACCCATTAACAATGCCTCATAATTCACTTTTCTGGTGTTGCCTTCTTCCAGTCAACCTCCAACAGGGGCAAATAACTCTGCTGCATCTAGGCACTGGGTGCAATTTGCTCATTTACGTGACTGCCTAATTAGGAGGCATGCTCAGAACAGTGACTCAGGGCTTCTCTGAACTCAGATAACTCTTTCTTTTGCACACGCCAGAAGTAAACCTCTTGGTGTGCAAGAATGGAATATCCCCCCTCCTTCCATTAACAAAAATAGTGTCCCTCAGCTATCAGCTGTCTGGAAAACAGAAGTGTTAGAGAGAAAATGCAGATAAGCAGAAGATGAAATAGTGTGGCACAGTAGCAGAAGCAAATCCAAGGAAATAAAAAATTCAGAAATCAGAAGGGAGAAACTCGCTCAGAGAAAGGGAACAGTTACAGAATCTGGATTGCAATCCTGCATTGAATTAATTGTTTATGATTCCCACTGAGGTCAGCGGGACTTACCTAGGCACAAGTGATGATAGGATTGCCCCTTTGGATTTAAAAGTTATGCTAGATGCTAACCTCTCAGCACAAAAAGGGCACTGCTTCTCTACAGGTAGGCCGCGACTCTGCAGCTGAAGCTGGAGAGGCTAAAACAAATAAAGTTAACATTTCTGTACTGCAGATTTCCAGGCAGACTTTTGGCACAGCAACCAAGATACCCCAACTACGGGATTATTCTTTCACCAGAAAACAGCAACTGTGCCACAGTATTTCCATTCAGCATATATTACATAAATGAACAGATCATAAATCACAAAAGGAATTTTGTTCCAGACTCTGGGAAGCTCCAGAAGTTTCACTGTGGTGGGAGGCCTCACCACACATGCACAGCAACCTTCTGCTCTGACACGGCCAGCACAATGAGACAGCCTTCTGGACAGCGAGTCTGCCAGAGTCTGTTAAGAAACCCAGATCAATATTGCCTCCCGCCCTCCCTGCAAAAAATAATAATCAAAAACCTGCTGCCTCCTTATCCTTTTGCAGCAGAAAATAAAGCATGCATAGTGACCTAAGACAGCGCTTCCCAATTAGCTAAGTGCTGAGGACCTCACTTTTCAAAAGCCAAGCCATGGACCCCCTACTGTTAAAAACGTTGGTATCTCTGTGGTAGTTTTTATTATGTGCATGGTGCCACCATATCCTCCCACATGTCCCAGAGCAAAACTGGGTCACGCATCTTCTGGGCTCCTGCATGTGTCAGGCAACCTGTGCGAGAACACAGCACCCCAAAACGGGGTGTCCTGGGCAGCTGGTGGGTATGTGCCACAGACCTCCTGGGTGAGTTACATGGACCCCTGGGGTCTGCAGGCCACCAACTGGGAGCCAGTGATCTGGGACATTTCGCTGTTTGTGGTTATGAAGAGATTATTCTAATATCACATCTTATAAAAGTCCATTTGGTGCAAAGGTTGTGCCTTCACTATGCCATGTCTTCATTTAGTTCCCCATCAGCAGATCTCATCCACTCCAACATCCATGGTCACTCACTATATTAACCTAAAGAAAGCAGCTGACAAGCATGCATTTGGTCAAAAGGTCAGATTTTCAAAGTGTTCATACCTCTGCCAGTGTTAATAGTTGTAGGACTGAAAGCCTTCCAGACAATGGTTTCACAGATGTTGGTAGCAATAAAGAGGGAAATCCCAGAGCCCAAGCCATAACCTTTCTGCAAGAGCTCATCTAGTAGCAGCACTATCAAGCCAGCAACAAACAACTGTGGGTGAGAAACACCAAAAGATCCACAAAAGTGGTTTAATATCTGATTTGCGTTGTTCAAAAGTGGGCCACATTTGCTATCAGAGTTGCAGCTCCTCCTTCTGTCATTCCAGTTGAGTAAAGGAAGTAACAAAAACTTCTGGAATCATCACTAAAATGTATGCTGCAATTCTTAGCATATATGCTTGAAAGAAAATCTCACCAACAAGAATAGTACCAAAATCAGAGGAGCTAATAAGCCCTGTCAAAACAAAGAAGGGTGTATTATCAAAAATAAAGATAGTTGATTGACTCCTGGTTGTTCATTGGGAAGTGCAAGTAGTTTTTCTTTTTTTAAAAAAGATCTTATATCTGAAAATATTTGACATTTTGTTTTTACATATGCCTTGGTCAAATCCCCTTAATAGCACAAAGAAAATAATTATAGAATATTATCTAGCTGGCACCTTGGTGAGTGATCTGAGAGAAGGTACAAAATAAATTAGAACTTTTAAGGAAGTTTTGTTTCCCTTTATTAGTATACTGATTGAGGGACATATAGTTGATTTGAATTTATTTTTAATAATGAAAAAATATTTTTTTATTTAACAAAATTTATATACCACTTCATTGTAATAAAAGCTCTAAGCGGTTTACAAGAAATATTAAAATTAACAATAAGAACCAGTTACAAAGAATTATTAACTCTACTTAGAGTATTCAGAAGGCGTACCTGAATTATAATCAGGAGACAAATTCCAGCCCCCATTTCTGCAGGATCTCCATACATCCCAGTCATGACATACACAATTGCTTGCCCAATAGTAATTATCATTCCAAACACTGAAACAACAACAAAAGAGGCAGGTATTCCCTGCTTGTATGACCTAGCAGACATAAGTAAAGTTTGATTTGATTTTGATTTAAACTGTTTATTCTGCTTTTCCAACAATAAATATTGAATGCAAAGCAGCTCAAAATAATCACAAAAGCACTGAAATCAACAAACATTACAATCACTATACTATCAGACACAATCACATATAAATAAAGCAAACAACAACAAATTCATCAGAATGGTTACTACAATTCAATAGAGCATTAGCTAAGAAAAAAGGAAGTTTCCATTATGGCAAAGATATTAATACTCACACTTCTGAGCGCCATTAAAAAGGGCTCTGTCTTTTGGTGTGTCACCAACTTCAATGATCTTGGCTCCAGCCAGTAACTGCATAATTAAGCCAGATGTCACAATGGGAGAGATACCTAGCTCCATCAACGTGCCTGCAAAGGAGAAGATACTCTTAACAATAGTGTAAACTAAAACAAAGACTTCTTACAATTCCTTAAATACTCCAAAGTCTCAGTTCACTGCATATTTCCCCACTAGCATTGTCTTTCAAATATAATTGGTCAGATACCTAACCATAGTGCTGGGCTTTAAACACTGCATCCAGAGTGCTTGCAGTATTAAACAGTATTAAGGGTGGAAGAGTATTTCCACAAACAACATTAGCTGCTCTTAAAGGCACAAGAGAGCACACTAATTTAGTACAAATTAGAAATAAATACCTTCCCTCCAGGTCTCCTAGACAATATCAAGATTCAACTGTACAGTGTCTTTAGCATGGCTCGTATTATCTGGAATGGGCTGGATAATCTCTTTCTCTCCATGGCCTCATTTTGAGAATTCCTTGCTCTGCACTACATAGTTAAAATCAGAAATCTTACACAAGAAATGGGAGTCAGATGTGGCACTTTCAGAAATATAAGTCACATACACACACCCAGTTGACAGGTTCAGGAGGTGGCTTCATTGGCTACTGGATCTGCAAGAGCCCACTTGGAGAAACAGAGAAAAGAGAATGCCCCCCCCCAAAAAAAGTGGTCTTCCAAGTAAAACTAGCTGCTGACCCTGTCTCCAAGAGACCTGCACTGATGGTATATATACATACATACGTACACACTGTGCTTTTTCCTGGGGGAACACAGGGGTACGCATACCCCTAAACATTTTGTAAATCTAAGTTTGGCCTCAAGCAGGGGCACTATTTCAAAATGAGTAGGAAAATGAGAGTACCCCTAAACATTTTTTTAGAAAAAAGCACTCTGTGTGTGCGCGCGCTATAGCAAGTGGTCTTCCAAGTAAAATTAGCTGCTGACCATGTATCCAAGAGATCTGCAGTGATAGGGAGAAAAACATTTTGCAAAATATAGGTAAAAATTATTCACATACCAAAATACAGTAATTTTGAAACCCTTCAAGTACTTTCCAAACTCTAACAAAACTTACTATTTAGCTTCTCAGTACCAAAGACCAATGCAAAATGTAATTTCAAGAGAAAAAGAGCACTTGTCAATTCCACATTCTCATTGATGTGACCCCAACTACCATACTTCTCCACCTATAAGACACCCCCTGGTATAAGCGACCCCCCCCCCATTATGGAGGACTAAATTTTAAGAAAATGAGGGGAGATGGCCCAAAGTTGTTGAGCCTCTCCCCCCACGCAGCTGCAGACAGGAAACACTCCCTAGATCGTTTCCCATGGGAAGCGGCAGCGGGGGAAGTTGCGCTCCCTCCAGCCATCTGGTTTGCAGAAGCGCAACCTCCCCTGATGCCGCCACGTGTGGGAAACGATCCAGGGAGCGCTTCCCATGTGCAGCGGCATCGGGTGAATTTGCGCTCCTGCCAAAGAGCTGGCTGGGGGCGCACCGCTTCTCTCCCCCCCCCCCATGCCACTATCCGTGTATTGGACGACCCTGGCTTTTTGACATGATTTCTGAGTCACAAAACCTCATCCAATAAATGGAAAAATACGGTATATGCACCATGAGCCACCTCCAGACAGTAAACCAAAGCCAGAGAAAAGACAGCAAGAGAGATGATGAGAATCCTGACCTCTGTTTGATGCGAGAATGACTCTCATCCAGTAGAAAGGATCTGCGGAGTCGGAGGACATTATTCCAAACAATGGTATCTGCAAGATTCATAGCAACATTACACTGAAAATATATAAATGAGGGAATCCCCTCCCCCCACACCACCACCCATCATCCATTTGTTGAGCAAAGACAAATATAATACTGCAATAATCAGCAGTTTACTTCAAGACTTTCTCAAGCATATGGTTGCTGGTTAAAGCTTGAAATCAATCTAAACCTATACATGTCTACTCAGGTGAGCTTAATAGGACTTACTCCCAAGTAAGAGGATACAGGATTGTGACCTGAAACAGCCCCAACAGAAAGCCCCAGGTTATTTTCAAGCCAATATCATAATTCTTTGTGTGAATAATTCACTGAGCTTTTTTCTTTTCTTTTAAAATGTGAATTGTTGGTTGTTTCTAAGAATCATAGAATCATAGAGTTGGAATAGACCACAAGGGCCATTGAGTCCAACCCCCTGCCAAGCAGAAAACACCATCAGAGCACTCCTGACATATGGTTGTCAAGCCTCTGCTTAAAGACCTCCAAAGAAGGAGACTCCACCACACTCCTTGGCAGCAAATTCCACTGTCGAACAGCTCTTACTGTCAGGAAGTTCTTCCTAATGTTTAGGTGGAATCTTCTTTCTTGTAGTTTGGATAAATTGCTCCGTGTCCGCTTCTCTGGAGCAGCAGAAAACAACCTTTCTCCCTCCTCTATATGACATCCTTTTATATATTTGAACATGGCTATCATATCGCCCCTTAACCTCCTCTTCTCCAGGCTAAACATGCCCAGCTCCCTTAGCCGTTCCTCATAAGGCATCGTTTCCAGGCCTTTGACCATTTTGGTTGCCCTCCTCTGGACACGTTCGTTTGTCAGTGTCCTTCTTGAACTGTGGTGCCCAGAACTGGACACAGATGCTATACTCCTATTGATGCAGCCCAGAATTGCATTGGCTTTTTTAGCTGCCGCGTCACACTGTTGGCTCATGTCAAGTTTGTGGTCAACCAAGACTCCTAGATCCTTTTCACATGTACTGCTCTCAAGCCAGGTGTCCCCCATCTTGTATTTGTGCCTCTCATTTTTTTTGCCCAAGTGCAATACTTTACATTTCTCCCTGTTAAAGTTCATCTTGTTTGTTTTGGCCCAGTTCTCTAATCTGTCAAGGTCGTTTGGAAGTGTGATCCTGTCCTCTGGGGTGTTAGCCACCCCTCCCAGTTTGGTGTCATCTGCAAATTTTATCAGGATGCCCTTGAGTCCATCATCCAAGTCGTTGAGAAAGATGTTGAATAAGACCGGGCCCAAGACAGAACCCTGTGGCACCCCACTAGTCACTCTTCTCCAGGATGAAGAGGAACCATTGATGAGCACCCTTTGGGTTCGGTCAGTCAGCCAGTTACAAATCCACTGAGTGGTAGCATAGTCAAGACCGCATTTTACCAGCTTCTTTACAAGAATATCATGGGGCACCTTGTCGAATGCCTTGCTGAAATCAAGGTAGGCTACATCCACTGCGTTCCCTTCATCTACCAGGCTTGTAATTCTGTCAAAAAACGAGATCAGGTTAGTCTGACATGACTTATTTTTCAGAAATCCATGCTGACTATTGGTGATCACAGCATTCCTTTCTAGGTGCTCACAGACTGTTTGCTTAATGATCTGCTCCAGAATCTTCCCTGGTATTGATGTCAGACTGACTGGGTGATAATTATTTGGGTCCTCTCTTTTCCCCTTTTTGAAAATAGGGACAACATTTGCCCTCCTCCAGTCTGCCAGGACTTCGCCTGTTCTCCAGGAATTCTCAAAGATGACTGCCAGTGGTTCTGAGATCACCTCTGCCAGTTCTTTTAATACTCTTGGATGCAGTTCATCTAGCCCTGGAGACTTGAATACATCTAAACTAGCCAAGTATTCTTGTACTATCTCCTTAGTTATTCTGGGCTGTGTTTCCTCTGCTGAATCATTTGCTCCAAATTCTTCAGGTCGGGCATTGTTTTCTTTATCGGAGAAGACTGAGGCAAAGAAGGCATTGAGGAGTTCAGCCCTTTCTGTGTCCCCTGTTTGCATTTCACCATCTTCTCCTCTGAGTGACCCCACTGTTTCTTCTTCCTTTTGCTACGGACATACCCATAAAAGCCTTTTTTGTTGCTTTTAACCTCTCTAGCAAGCCTGAGTTCATTCTGTGCTTTAGCTTTTCTGACTTTGTGTCTACATGTGCTGGCTATTTGTTTGAATTCCTCTTTGGTGGTTTCCCCCCTTTTCCATTTTTTGTACACATCCTTTTTTAATCTTAACTCAGTTAAAAGTTCTTTAGATAGCCACCCTGGCTTCTTTAGGCACCTTCCATGTTTCCGTTTCATTGGTATTGCCTGAAGTTGTGCTTTTACTATCTCCCTCTTAACAAACTCCCAGCCATCATGAACTCCCTTTCCTTTTAGTATTACTGTCCATGGGATCTCACCCAGCACTTCCCTAAGTTTTATGAAGTCGGCTTTCTTAAAGTCAAGAAATTGAGTCCTAGTATGCTTGGCTGCTCCTTTCCACTGTATAGTAAACTTCAGAAGAGCATGATCACTCGCGCCTAATGATCCTTCCACTTCTACCCCACTAACCAGGTCATCAACATTGGTTAGGACCAGATCTAAAATGGCTGTTCCTCTTGTTGCTTCTCCCACTTTCTGGACAATGAAGTTGTCTGCAAGGCCAGTGAGGAATCTGTTTGACCTTATGCTCTTGGCTGAGTTTGACATCCAACAAATATCCGGGTAATTGAAGTCCCCCATTACTACTATCTCCCTTCCTTTTGCATGCTTGGCCATCTGTTCCAGGAAGGCATCATCTATGTCCTCCGTTTGGCTTGGGGATCTATAGTAAACTCCCACAATGAGGTCTCTGTTATTCTTCTCTCCCTTAATTTTGACCCAAATGCTCTCACTTTGGCTTTGAGGTTCTAAATCTTGGATCTCTTCACAGGTATACACATCCCTGACATATAACGCCACTCCTCCTCCTTTCTTGTCTGGTCTGTTTCTCTGAAATAGATTGTATCCCTCCATTATTACATTCCAATCGTGGGACTTATCCCACCAGGTTTCAGTGATGCCTATTATGTCATATTTAGTTTGCTGTACCAAGAGCTCAAGCTCGAAGAGGGTGCTTTACTTCTGGGACTTTTTTTCTGCATGGCAATAACCCTTACTGTCTCCAGCCGTGTGTGCCAGTTATTACCACATTGATACTTACCTGGCAGCATACTAGAAAAATGAAGAGGGTGATAGCTGTCCATAAAACCTTTTCTCTGAACTGAATCTGCAGAACACAATGAAAAAGAAAGAAAAAGGGAAAAAGAGAAGTCTGGCAGGCCAATAGTAAAACGGGCAGGCCAATAGTATAGCGAACATACAATAAAGCAGCCCTAACTGGCAATTTAAGGCAGACTTGTATTTAGACACTGGCATGCAAGTAACCAGGGTAGTCCCTCCATATGTCTGTCCAGCACAGAAGGACACAGCTCTCCATCTCTCCTCTGCCAGCCCCCAAGAGGTCAGTCCATATGTTCTGTGGCTTAGTAACCTCCATGGGCTTCATTACAAGGCTATACTATCAGGGGTATACAGTATTCACATTTCACCAGTCCAGAAGGTATGTACAAGCTCTGACATGGGAGCTAACTTGCGTATCTCCAATACTGAGGAGAGACAATGTCTGTCCTTCCAAAGTGGCAAAGGAACAGGAAGCACTAACAGTTTGCAAGTCCTGTTGTACAACAATACATCTGACTCTTAAGTTCTTACTTAAGGGGCAAAGTAAAATGCTTATTCCACTAGACTCATTGGGCTAGGGCCTGCAATCGAGGTAGGCATATCTACTCAGAAGTCATGCCCATTAGTTCAATGGGGCTTACTCTCAGCTGTAATCAAAACCCCCAAGTCAGCTATGATGAGGCTTGATGGTGTGCCAGAGCCAGGGGGGCATCCACAGTCCTGCCACTCATGCCAATGAAAGTGGAATGTGAGGAGAACAGGAATAAAGGCTTCTTTGACATACCAGGTCCCAAAGTGGCACAGTGAAGAGGCTCGGAAGAAGCCCATTGTAGTCACGGGACAACAGCAAGTCCAGCTCAGGATCCTGTAGCTTGTGCCCACAGAGTGGCTTCTCTCCCCACCCTGGCTAGAGCAGGGACATTGCATCTCTGTTTGGGAGCAGTGCTCCCTAGCTGGCAGAGCTGAGTAGGGTTTGGAAGAGGGACACCTCAACCTCATCCCAACCACCTCCAGTATGGAGGCCTGTGGGTTGGGACTGCTCTGTTGGTTGTGACCAATGTTTGCTAGATTGTGCTCCGTGTAACTAGACCAAAGTAAACATAGGGCTACATCAATGGAACATGTCAGCACCTAAACAATCACTTCAACAGAGGGATTTTTACACATTTAGATTTTTGAAGAACACAACTTGCATCCCCAGATACAAACTTTGTCACAATGTCAAGCAAACTAAAGGCCTGTATACAGTATTCCGAAGAGCCAGAAAAACCTAAATAGGTAGTACATAGCCTAAAGAAACTACATGATCTCAAGCCTGTTTACTCAAAGAAACCCCACTGTGTTAATTCAAAATGCATTTGATCAACATTGCACAAATAAGAGACACCATGATGTGCACTTACTTTTCTTTCTGGCTTCTGGATTTCCGGAAGAACAGCACAGAATGGCTTAATAACTTCTAGAAATTTGACTGTTAAAGAAGAGAAATATTAAAACAGCAGAATGTAGGTTTTGACCAGTCCAAGAAAACATTTCAATTTCTCATACTAGTGTATGTTCCTGACTGCAAATATATGCCCTGGTTTGATAGGGGGACGGGATGGGATAGAATCCCTATTTTCATCAGCTCTATCTTATATATTAGTGAAATAGAACTTTGGCCACAAACTAGGTTACACACTTTTTAAAAAGTGAAAACTTAAATCCTTTGTATGCTAATTTGTGAGTGCATTTAACTGAATTCAATATAACTTACTTCCAAACAAACAAACAAACAAACACACACAGGAACAGGCTGCTGGTCACAGTGGGAGAATTAAGCATATACTTAACTCTCCCCCATTGAACTCAAAAGGATTTAAGAGTGACCTAATCTTTCTCATCTCTCAAAGTTGGGATGAGGGAGGTAAGGATCCATCCATCTTCTGAGCTGGATCCAGTTTCCCACCCCTGATCTAAGCAAAGGTGAGCAGCTTTTGCCAGCCTGGTGCCCTGTAGTTGTTTTGTACTACCATCAGCTGATGGGAGTTGTAGTTCAAAACATCTGATTGAGAAAGTAGTCCATTGTCTACCCTTGATGGGGCTGCCCTCTCCTAGGAGCAGGTTCACAGCGGGGGGTGTGTGTGTGTGCGCGCGCGCGCTTCTGGATCCATCTTTGTCACTGGCCTCTGTGGCTAGAAGCATTTTTTACTAGCATTGACTGGTAGGATCATTCCTGGACCAGGAAAGATCAGCCACAGCAATTCATGCACTAGTTACATCAAGACTGGATTACTGCAAGGCGCTTTATGTGGGGCTTGCCTTGCGCTTGATCTGGAAGCTGCAGTCAGTGCAGAATATTGCAGCACTACTGCTGACAGGAGTGAGACCCCATCAGCATGGAACACTTGTAACTCAGAGATCTCCACTAGTTGCCAGTTTGCTACCAGGCCAAGTTCAAGGTGTTACTGTTAGCATATAAAGCCCTGAACAATTGGCATCACTTTACCGGAGAAATCACCTGACCCAAAATATGCCCACTTCATCACTTCAATCTGCAGAACTTGTACTGTTACTGCTGCCACATAATAGTATTTGTTCTGCATTTATAAGAAACAATCTTTTAGTGTGGCAGCACCAAAACCTTGACACTCCCTGTCTCCTCCCTGTCTCTTAACATCAGGCAAATGACTTCATTGTACTCTTTTCAGTGCCTGCTTTTTTTTTTTTTGCAGAAGCTTGTAATTTTTTATTTTAAAAAAGCTGTATTATTTCAGTGCAAGTTTCTCATAATATTGCTGAATATAGTGCTGATGAAAATGCACATTCCCTTATTGTGTGCATACTGGTACGCATTACTTGGCTGGAGAACTGCATTGTGCAATTCTGAGAAGTACAAATTCTAAAGGGTTGCTGTGTTTGGGTTTGCATATTAGATTGAGAAGTACAAATTAGGTCATTTCCCATTAAAATGCAGAAAGAATCAAATCAATTTGTAAAAAACACATAATTAAAAGAAAAAGGGGGGGGGAATTGGAAAAAAAATAGATCCATTTTTATGCCTTTTGCTTCATTTACTAGTTTCCTTGACTTCCACCCGCCTCCCCTTTTTGCATTCCCATTTACCTAATCAATTCAGCAAATCCTTGGCCTCTTTTCAGTGCCTGCTAAAACATTTTTGTTTAGATAAGCCTACCTAGATATGTAGGACGTTGTTGTGTTTTAACCTGTTATTAGTTTATCACTGATTTTAATTTTTTGTAATATTTTAGTCGTTTTCAGCTGTTTTTACCAATGATTTTATTTAATTCTTTTTGTAAACTGCTTAGAGGTTGTTCAGAATCAAGCCTTGTATAAATTTTAAGAAATAAATAATATGAAATAATTGAAACATCACAATCTGTAGGATTAACATCACAATTTGCAAGATGGTTCAAAATGATTTGTGAGCTAAAACATTTCTATTCTGCTTGAGATGCTTATGAAGAAGATAATTTATTAAATTTGTAGACCACCCTATAGCCATAGATCTCAGGGTGTTTCACAATGTATCGTATATGATATGCATCTTCAAATATCTAAAGGAATGGAAGATGGAGCAAACTTGTTTTCTCTTGCTCGACTCGAGTCTAGAATCCAAAACAATAGATTCAAGTTACAAGAAGAGATTCTGACTAAACATCGAGAAGAATTTTCTGGCAGCAAGAGCTGTTGGTCGGTAGAGAAGACTTTCAGAAGTGGTGGTTGACTCTTCTTCCTTGGAGATTTCTAAGCAGAGGCTAAATGTCCTCCTGATTTGTCTGACATTCCTGCATCGCGGGGGGGGGCTGGATTAGATGCCCCCCCCCGGGGTCCCTTCCAACTCCACGATGCTCCAGACTGCTGCCTCGCTCATTCTTGCCCCCTTAAAGCAAATCCTCCCCTTTCCCCTTTGGCCCTTTTTGCATTTCCGCTTCGGAGCCCTGCGCGGGGGGGGGGGGCCCAGAAGGGGCTCCTCTCGCCCCCCGCCGCCCCCTCCCTCCCTCCCTCGCCCGCCCCCCCCCCCGCCCGCCTCCGAGGCAGCCGCGCAGGACCAGAAGCCGCCGGCCAGGACGCCCCCCTCCGGCCCCCGGCCCGCTCCCTCCCGGCCCGCCGACTCACTTCCCATGCTGGCGGAGGCGGCGCCCGGAGGAGGAGGAGGAGGAGGAGGCGGCCCCCCCGCACCCGCTCACGTGACCAGTGACGCATTTTTCCGGCGCGACCGAAACTCCGGCCACGTAGAGCCACGCCAAGGGGAGAGTCGCGCCACCTTGTTTACATTCGCTTCTTTAATTGGAGGGGCGCTTTAATTTAATTTAATTTAAATTTATTTATATTTGTGTAATAAAATTGACGGGCGCTTTATTTATTATTAAATTTGAGGGGCCCTTTTATTTATTTGTTTAATTTGATGGGCTTTTTATTTTTCATTCATTTATTTATCCGCTCCAAACCGGTGCCAAACTGCTGCAGTTGTTTTCAGCCTTTTGCTGCGAAAACTGCGCGTTTTGGAGTCTCCCACCGACTGAGAAATTCTTAATTAAACCTGGGGTCAAACTATCATCCCAAGGCCTAACATTGTCTAATTCACTCCAAAGTGTGGCAACAATTTTGCCCCGAAAACACGACGTTTTACAGCAGGGGTCAGCAGGGGGCCGGTCCACTGGCCCTCAGACCTTGTGGTTATATTTTGAAAAATATAAATACCCGGCAAGCCAGTCCCGCTGCTGCCTGCGGACCTGAAGGAGGACGCACGGTGCACGCTCACCGGCCTTGTGGACGAGCAGCCAATCCGAAGCCGCGCCAGCGTTGCGGAAGTCAGTCCCCACATGGCGAGGCGTCCGCAGCAAGTGCGGGCGGCAGGGTCCGCGGGCCGGATTTACAAGCCTGGGGGGGCTGCATCCAGCCCCCGGGCCTTAGTTTGCCAACCCCTGTTTTACAGCACCCCACCACAGAATAGAATTGAGCAAATTCTACTTGTGGCAGTGGCCCAAAGGGCCACAATAAACGTGATAATGTGTACCCCTGTAAATCCTTGAGTGCTTCCAATAGAGATGTTGTGGTTGCCTGTTACTTTATGAAACTGATGATTTTGCAAGTTGCCCCCCCCACCCCCAAAATTGGGGCAGAAATACAGCTAACATGTGAATCACAAAGATACAGCTCAAAGCTAGAACATAAGTTGCTACATGGTGCAAATGGCTACACGTAATATTGGTTCCCAACATGCACACTAATACAATGTAATAGAACCCAGTGGGAATCAGAGCATAATCAGCAGAAATTGCCAGTGCCTGTTGTGCATGTGTGTTAAACATGAAATGAGGTAATGATGTATGTTTGGTGGAAATTGAAATGCTTTGTTTGAAATCTTATAAATACCACTGCCTGGACCACTGGGCAGGGTTGCAGATTTGTGGAATGATCCGACTGTAACCTTTTGTAAGCTTTGCAATAAACATTGGACTCCTAACTCCTCACATTTCTGAGTTTTATTGGTGTAAACTCAGGAGATAAGCTATTTTCTGGCTTACAACATACTCAAACCTGGGGTCACAGCTATCACCCCAAAACCAACACTTTTGCAGGCTTTTGCAGCCCCCCCACCAACTGAGCAATTGCTACTCAAACCTGGGGTCATAGCTGTCACCCCAAAACCCAATGCTGTCCAATTCACTCCAAACTGGTGCCTGAACGAATCGCAGAAGCATAATGTGGTGAGTAAAAGAAAACAGAAGAGTCTGGGGAATGCGTGAGCTTCATATGCACAAATTCCATTCCATGGGTGGGGGGGGGGAGAGAGAGGTGGAAGGAGAGGGGGGTGGTAAATGTGCATGTTATTTTCCCCTTTTTTTTTTAATTGGTGTATGTGAGGTTTTTGTGTCAGCCTCACTTGGGCCGGTTCTTTCTGTTCCTTTGCTGGTTTATGTTGGCAGTGAGAGAAGAGCGGGCAGGGCATGGTTGATTGCCTTTGATAAACTACAGTAAGATTTGTTTGCGTGTGTGGAAAGGGGGTGATGGATTGTCTGGTCAAGTTAGCCATATTGATCTATATGCTGTTGGTGGTGAATAACTCATGAACGGATCCTATCAAGCTATTTGAAACATTTGACAGACAAGGCCAGCTTTAGCCATCGTTCAATAGGAACATGATTTTACGCCCCCAAATTTGCAACACGGGAGAGGGGAGAATTGGGGAGGTAACTCTGTTTAGGAAACTATCAAACTACTGAATTGCTACCTTCCTGAAGACTCAATCTCCCATCTGTGCATGTGGATGGAGGGTAAGCTCTCGCCCACAGTTGCAGGGGAGAAAGAGTACATTGCTGTGATATTTTGTTTCAGGTGCACAAATATCTAAAAAGCGCACACTGCAACCACTCTTGCTTTCTCACCAATATGCTATTGGGCCAACTGCTGAGCACATAAGAATCTGCTGTAATTTCTGTAGCAGCATATATGAGAGATGGGGAGGAAGAAAATGCTCATTTGGGAGGGAAATTTTCTTGCCCAAACTGTGTTGATATATGTACCTGCCTGGCTCCATACTAGGTAAGAAGGGGGAGGGGTGTGCCAGAGGACAAGGGGTCCTGCCTGTTGGGCTGCACAAGTAACCAGCCATGTAAGCCTTTTATTTGAGTAATAAAAACCTTTGAGACTTCCAAGTGACCCAGAAGTTTCATTTTTATTACAATGGAACATATTAAATTTATATTGTCATTTCCCCTCCCCCCATTCTCCTAGAAAGCAGCAATATAGCAAAATTTCAAGAAAAGTATTCAAAGATTGGTATTAAGTTCTTAGTGAGCCCTGTGATAATATTGCCCCATACTTTGGCATTGCCTTGTTTTACTATAAAGTAAAATAGTTGCAAGCCTGAATACAATTGGAGCAGTGGTGCTGGGGAAGGTTTTAACACTTACTTTCTCATTCTAAATTATCCCCCATAAACTGATCTTAGCGGCACTATAGAAAAATACAGGGACTTGAACATGATCAAATCTCCCAATGTTCTGATAAAGGTAGGCAGGCTAACTTAGAAGTACATTGCAGTAAAACATTACAAAAGGACATTTCTTCAGTCACTACTCTTGACATATGAACCAACTGGGAAAACTTCACAACCCACTTAAGGCCTGGATTGCAGATATGAAGAATACAATGGAAAATGCAAGGCACAGGGAATAATTTTGTGTTGTCCCTTTGAGGATGGCACTTCGGGGTAGAAAAAGGGCATTGCCAGCCCCCTCAGGCCAGTGCTCCAGCCCAATGAGCTTCCTTGCAGTTGGAACTGCTGGAAGCTAAGCCCAAGAGGGGCTGTTGCTTCCTGCCCTGCAAACGGGCTGCTACCCACATGTACACCAACTGCAGCAAGACTAAAGATGTAAAATTTCCAGAAATTTTGAAGCCGGAGGGGGGAGGCGGAAAAAAACTGTTTTCCCCCCCAATTCTTCTGGGTTTTCCCCAGGCCTTCCCATCTCTACTTGAGGACAGCCGGGGCAAAGCATAAGGCAAATTTTTTGCATGCCAGGCCCAGAAGTAACACAGATGTATTGGTAAAACCATCCCTGGGTTGTATCACTTTTGACTTTAGCTAGGGGATTGCATGACTGAATAAATACTCCCAATAAAACAAATTCACAGCACGCAGAACCATAGATGTCAGTGGCGCTATTTTTCTAGATCTCACCATGCATGCCTCTCTTGTTCTCTTATTATGGCAATGGCGCCCACCTGAGAGGTGATGGAATTGAGTTCTGGCAAATTCCAGCTGAAAAAAAGCCCTGGATGTCAGGATTAAAATTATGATAGTTTTTCATATGCAGGGATCCCATCCACTCAGTTGAGTTATTTTCCCACCTACTGCCTGAAGTGATACAGCTGAGGAACAGTTTTTCCCATCACATCTGTTTTTATAATTTAGACCTACAAGGCCCACTCATTAAAAAACAACAACACCCAGCAAGCTTTAATAATTTCTTTTTAAACTACAGTTACAATAATCTACCATGATTGAAGCCAAGGGTAGCTATCCTTTTCCAGACAGAGAGCTGCACTCAGCTGTGGTCAACCTTCTGTGCATGACATGTCTGAGTTGGTGTGCTAGAATTTAGAAGGGTTTTGCTCATGAAAAATACAAAATCTTGTCACTTTTGCCATCAACAAATAATGCACAAAAGTGGGAAGTCATTATGGGTATCATAAGAGTCTCAGATTTTAGGAGCTGCATGAAGATGTTTAATTTAAAAATTATTTTATTTTATTTTAAAAAGATTTCTTACCTAAACATGAGCAAATTGCAATAGGAAAGATCCAAATACAGATAAATGCACTTACGCTCCATTCAAGGGTGCAGATTTAAATACATGCTTAAGTATACACTGAAATGAACTTTAGCTGGCTTGTACCCAATATACAATTGTAAACAACATGCCTCATGATCACATTTAGGTTTGTAACATTCTCATTCACTAAGACCTTGTTTTAACCTTCAAGAATTAACACAGTTCATAGGTCTCAAGCAAATGTTTTGGTGAGAAGGTCTTCCTGCTGTTTTTGGTGTAACATTCCAATGCCCACGGCAGGTGCTGGTAACGCTGGTCTACTTACAAGACGGAGCTGCAATTAAGTTAGAAAGGCAGCATTACAAACTACTTATTATCTGTCCAAATTAAACAGTTATTAAATTAATAAACTGGGCTGCAATCTTGCACACAGGCTACCTGACTCAAATGGAGCAACACAGTCCTTAGCATGTGTACTCGGAATTAACCTGGCTGTGTTCAATGGGTTTCATCAGTGAGGA